AAATTGGTTATTTTGATTATATCTTTTAGATTCTAATAAATAATTTTGATACTACTAATATTAAATAGAAATGAGTGTTTGTTAATTACACAATAACTAACACACAGAAGTGAATTAAATTTTTATATAGACAAAGCGAAAGATGCAAAATATATAAAAAATTACTTCTAAACAGATTTCATATTATAAATAAGTATAATTTTTAAATGCTTTATAATTTGGTGAATGCTAAAATTAAAAAGTCCAAGTAATTTATCTGTGGGAACCAAACATTAGTCATTCAATGCCAAGGCTGGTCCACACTCCACTAAGATAACTGGTTTCCTAAACTCGGTCAGAGGCATTTCCAGCAACGGTTTTGCAACCGGTATATTGAAATGCAAAATATATTTAACTTAAGTTGCATTGTTCGAGATACTGTCTGCACATATCTTTGGAGATCATATTATGTTTTATATTAAAATGTTGAAAGGGTTATGAACAAATAAATCGTATTGAATTTAGTATGATTGTTACTACTGGAGTTTTTTAATATTAATTTACTTACTTTCAAACGGACATTCATAAGGTAAAATTAATTAATATATAACATAAAAATGGTCTAAGGTTTTATAAATAAAAGTAACTGTAAATACATTAAAAACGGATCAAGGCCTTAAAACCTTGTCACCAATAAAACTTAATTTCATTAGGAATAAAATTTTTATTCACAACTAATCGAAATTATTTAAATACCGAAATTATATTGCTCATAAAAAAAATATTTTACATATTATCTTAAACGACGATGATATTTTAAAATTATTTCATATTAATATATTCCAAGGAAATATATTATCGTATAATAAAATTCAATACATTGATGATGAATTCACGTGAAAATTATTATGGAACATCAATTAATCAAGCTTAGTATAATTTTTCTGATGATAATTACAATGGAATGATCTCGTTCACCATTGACGTATACCAATTAGAGCAATCTATATCTGTATCGCAGGTTAATAAATAAATCGTCACGGGGTCTTACAGGGCCATATGAATTGACTCCGTCCCCTATAGTTACACGGAAACGTGTCAACTGACGGTGACGGTATTACGCAGATGTTTGTTGTATATACCAACATACACACATACTCGAGATACATGCATATACAGGGTGACTGGTGAATTACTATCAATATTTAAGGAGCATACTCGGTACATGATTCTCATTCGAATTATGTAAAAAAAAATAGGTACTTAATTTTTGACCAAATTTCCGTATAAATAAATAAAGTGTTGACACGTTCCAAGTGTTCAAGTGTGGACGCGTGCGGGGGCGTGCTGATACAACACTACGTCACGACACGCGTATGTGTGAGTGTGTGTGTATACCTAATCTGTAGGGTGTTCACACGATGCGTAATTAATTAAATAACTTTTGGTTAACTTTACTCAGAAGTTTATTAATATTTATGTTATATTAATTTTTATTTTGTCATATATGATCGTCAACTACCACGTCCTTAAATATTGATAGTAATTCACCAGTCACCCTGTATATATAGTTGAAGGAAAACACGAGGAAACTTCGACTTACATTCAAATTATTAAGAGATCTAAGATTTTCGCGAGTACTCATTTAAATGAAACTAATATTTTCGGATATACTGCATACGGATTTTATTTTTGATTAAAACTACATACTCCCGAAATTTCGGCTACTTTACAGCAACGCTGTATTCAAATTATAAGTTTGAAATTACCAACCTGTCTTGAGCAAGCGTGTTGATTAATGCTCAAACCTTCTCCATGTGAGAAAGAGGCCTTTGCTCAGCTGTGGGCTCTGATAGGCTGATGATGATATGAATTGAACATAAAAGCAAATTTAATTCAGTTTCAACGATAAAATGTATTGCAAATTGTATTGATTACTTAGTTAAATAAAGAAATTTACATATAATACTCACATTAATGTTTTACATTGACATCTATAACTTTCAAACTTCTCCAATACGTGTGCATTACCAAGCACATAAGAATAAGCAGACGCATACAAATTAATAGCTTTCTACTATCTGAGCTTTTACTGCGAGTTGATCCCCGATATTGGTAGATAAGGATATATTGGAAAGTTTCAAAAATAACTACATGGAATATCAGAGGCGATGTTTCATAAAATATTTGAAGTTTTTTCAAGTTATAAGGGGAAAGTCGTTTATGGGCTAATTATATACTTATTGTCAAAAAACTAGTAATATAGGTTGTGGTACCGTCTATTCATATACCTCTGATTAGCGTTTACCTACTTTTCGGCTTTACTTATCGAATTAAATGGTGCAAAAATTCGTTCTTTACGTCAAATCCACTTAGGTTAGCTGCTATCGAGTGTCTTATGTTATGCTAAGGTATGAACACAGAATATAGAACTTAAATTCGCTATTGCGCTATTTTCAAAAAGTATATTCGTTTTCTAAATATTTCTAGCTGACCAGGTTTAATTCGCAATAGTTCTCTAACAAAGTATCTACTTCGTGCCATAAACTCTTGTTCCTCATGAGAAATGTCTTCGCAGCGAGTTTAATAACACAAAATTGCATATTCATAAAAACTAAAAGCGCATTCAGTAGTAAATTTTACGATTGCATGACAAATATTTGAAATATTAAGCGAAATTGCTTTCAAAGTTTCGCCTCATTACACGACGGATGTTGTTCCGTTAGTGAGAAATAATCTCTGGACGTTTGTATAACGGTGTACGAATGCTGAGATATTCCGATTTAATGCACCAACATCAAATCGTATCCGAACACAAGACTAAGTTTCTTTGAAGCGGCTTCTCCATACATATAAAAATAACTACATTACATTCATACTATTATTATGTAAATAACATTATAATGATATTAATGTACAGTTTTATATGGAGAGCATGTAAGCGGGGTCAGTCTTGTCGAACAGAAGCCTTGCAAGCACGATCGATATATTGTGATGTGGGAATGCTTGGTAATATCATTTCGGCTTTAGATATTTTATAACATGAAAATAAATTACGGAATGGAATATTCACATCTAGAATCTAGAGTTAATTTAAGTGTATATATTTTTAATTAAATTTATTTGAGTCGGTAGATTGCTCTAAAACTTTCTAATACGACATAACGAATAAAACGTAAAATGTGCCGATTCACGACGATGACTACTGATGCTTAAAACGTCTTCACATAGCTTTCACTGCGTTTGAGAATAATAATAACTATAGAGACATTATTTTGTATAAAGATTTTATAAATATATGTAAAAAATATTAAGTATTAAAAGATTTTTATCACATTCGTTCTTAAAAAATTGAATTCCTATACCTAATATTTGGACACCACTCACATTATCATGCATTTTATTTAGTCATGTATATCTGTATAAATATTACATTGTGACCAAAAGCCGTGACAAATTTGAAACATAACATATATACAGGTGGAAATGACCATTCGCTTCTGACCCTAGGATATGTTTTAGTTTGGGAGATAAACTTAGTAAACGAACATTCAAAATAGGGTTCGTATAGGCGTGTTTCCGTTGTTCGTGACGCGTGACCACAACTTCCGGTTGCAGGGTGGCTGGTAGCTATCACTATATTAATTATATGCAGGTATCATTAAAACAGTATTGCATTATCAAAACATTTATGTGCATTCTGTTACGCAAATTGATTTTAATATAGAAAAATTGTATAAAATTTTTACTATAAAGTGCGTTTGATAAACGTATAATTTTTTTGCCACTTAGTTAATTTACAAAACAACTTAATTGATTGATTTTTATCAATTAACTTTCGCTTCAAAAAAGTAGGCTAATAAAACAAAAAAATATATAGAGAGTACAAGCAGTATACCTAATTATGGGTTACTATAGTATCGCATCTAAATTCGGTTTTGATACTTGTCAGACAAAAAGATTTTGTGCCAATTAATAGAATACATTGTCTGGAACAGCAAATTGTCCGCAAAGACCGTACTAAGGCTCGCCTATATTTCAAGACAATTTATTTATATAAAAGAATTCTCTATATAGAAATGTACAAAGGAACATTAATTAAGACCAACGTTGTTACTATACATACGCAAAGTTAGGAAGCCCTAACAATTCATTCTAGTAACTAAATATAACGAAAACCGAACTACGTAATTATATTAACTTCTCGTACATACTACATTATAATTAATATATTGCTGTTATTTTAAAATTATGTCACGGATGAATCATATCAAAGACACTTGTGTTGTCCTTATTAAATTGTTTATCAACTGATGATTTAAAAGAAAATACTGATGCAATTAAATTCTTCCATATTATTTTATCTTTTAGGTATATAATATTTCGGTACTTATAACTATTTTATCAGCAGTATGATTACAAAAAAAGGACGCGTTACTAAGTTATATTAAACTTGGAATAATATCAATAAGAAATATATTAAATACAATCATCGACAAAAATAAAAGGTTTTTAATCTTTATATTGAAACTCAATTTACCTTTCCCTATGTAAATGTAAATTCGCGTTGTCATGAAAGGTATTGTGTCGAGGTCAGATCAATACGCTGTTGATGACGTAACACCTCACTAGTGGCATTAGGTAAAAATTTTCTTTTTAAAGGTCAAAAGAGTATTGTCCTTATATTGGACAAATTTGTAAAAAACATCGTATAGATCATTATGAAAGTTCATCGCTTTCATTCGCATTTTGTGTCGATGATCACAATTGTATTGAAAAAAATAAAAATAAATGTTTTTTTAATGTATGGTTTACGATAAATAAAAGGCTACATGTAATTTTATTTCTTTCATTTAATTACTGAACAATACGTCGAGTATTCAAACGTTATCTAATCGCTGCAATGCATTCTTATAAGTATATAATCCATCTCCACCACACCTTGTTGGAATATTAAAATTATATAATCAAAGTATAAAAAATCTTACAAAAATATATATTTATATAGAAAAATCATTTAATCACATCTGACGCCTGTTACCGAAGGAGATGCCAGACTGTTGCCCTTTGTTGGTTCCGTACTGCAAGGAGACTACATTCTGACCAGCTCTTAATTGTTCTTCACTGAATTCCCTTATATTCTTCTCTGCTTCCTTAGGTCCCATTGAAGGTAGACCGAAATTTCCAGCTTTCCTGCCTAAAGATTGCAGGCAAACGACTACAGAGTAAAGGTTCTGCTTCTCCCATAAATCGATCGTCTGGAAGGTCTCCTGCGATGGAACTCCCAGCTTGACAACAGCTTCAAGAAAAGCGTTGATATTCTCCATACATTTGAAAGCCATGTTGGATTTATTAATCTTCTTGACGGCGCCTTCTTGGAATTTGTTAACTAGATTACAGAGTAAGGTACCGTCTTTGAGGACCTCGTAAAGATTCTCCGCATCACCGGAAGTATTCTCCGGTTCTCCAGTGATTTTCTTGATCCATTCTAACGTCTCATGGGCTATGTCGTTGTTGTATTTACTATTTATCCTCTCTTGAGCCTCGGCGTTGATGCCGGCTTTCCCTGCGCGGTATTCAGCCATGTCTTGTGTTGATAGTTTTGCGGACACGTAGCCACTGAGCGGTTTTTGATAAAACACCTCTCAATATCATGGACATGACGAATACGATACGATTGATAGCGATTATTTATCTATACATAAATGTTACCGCTTTAAACATTATCACTCATTATCAAGTGATATTATTTTATGATTTTGGCTTTTAACAGGAATTCTAGCGTTTCACACTAAAATGTTATTTTTAATCACTCAAAATGTTTGCCGATAATGAACATTGCAGTTCTTTAAGGAAAATGATGTCACACGTTGAGTATCTTTGGATGAAAATATGATTTTTTTTTTATGAAATATAAAAAAGGTATCAAACAAAACTATGGAAGTCTTGTTTAAAAAGAAATAGTGTATATAAATACGAAAATAAAGATATTGAGTGAAGTGTATGAAAAACCATCAAGTAAATTATTGTTTTTGGATCTTAGACTCCTTTTTCCTTAACAATGGTCAATTTACTTGTAATTTATTACATATTCTTGAGTAACAAATATAACATATTATAATCATAAAATGCTTACTGTTTTTTTAATTCTCATTTACTAACATACCTAATATTAGATATCTACTTCTAGACGAAGAAGATTAAGATATATGTGTAAATTTGGAAACAAAAAAATCATAATAATGATTGTGATAAATATATATTTATTGAATTGTAAAATGTAAAGTTGTACATAAAACAATTAGTAATTAAAAACAAGTATAAGGATTCTTTTAAAATCTTTTTAAAGGAAAATAAGATGTACTATCACTTTTTTGGTGTCAAAAAATTTAAAATCGAATATACAATAAAAAAATATTCCCTAAAGAAAAATAATAAAACTGCATTAAATAAAATACATAAATCATACAATATATATAGCAATAATTAATAATATTACTCACAATATTAGTTGTAAAGAGCTTTATTACTCACAAATAGAATATTCTAGATCAATCGACTTCTTTAACTTATCAGCTATTTAATAATTATTTAACTGATAATTTGTACTGTGTATGATTTAAGACTGTACTTAGTTATAATTAGTAATTGATAATAGAAATATATATTGTCATGTCTAATTAGTTTTTAATGTTTTTTGTTGGTTCAGCATTGATTAACTATGAGGTATACATATGACTTTTCTTCTTAGTTATTTTTATATTGAGAGTGAAATCAATTATTTCAAGTTTAATTTTTAACATTAACTTTACATACACATGTGATTTATAAAAATTTTATCTCGGTTAGCCTTAAGGTGATTGGTGTTAGAAATATTTGTTTATTAAAATAATTTTTCTCAAGCAAAGTGTTTTCAATTTGTATATAAGAACAACATTAAACTAATAGATAAAGAATATTACTTGACACTTGATAATAATCAATTATAATGTAAAGTGTAAGTTGAGTGCTCATTGCTCGTATTTAAATTTGAATTTTATGATATAATAAATGAATCTGTAATAAAATTTTCATACAAATTGTGTTACATACAAAACTAGCAATAGTTTATTTGAGTAACCTTGTTAGAAGTGTTGAAATTTGAATGTTTGATCACTAAAAACAATAGGTATTCACTGTTTGGAACAAAGCTATCACAATCTAAATATGTAGATAGCATCTATACCTGTAGTTGGGAAACTGCTCATTTGTAGAAAAAGATGATTATGATCTCCAATGGACTATTTAATTTATAATTGCTTTTAAATTATCTTATCGCATGTAGCTCGTTGTCTTATATGAAATTTTAAATATTTTTATGATAAATATATTTTGGCTAAATGAATGTTACTTTGTGGGCACGATTAAGCCGCTTTGTTTTATACACCATTTTCTAATGTGATTTCATCTTTTTTGAATTTTGGACGTGTTAACATACTTAACCGGTGTTAGTGAAGCTATTGATATTAGCAATGATTTTCTGAAATACATCCTAACATGCTGGTATTTCGTCATTATGTAAATTCATAGATTGGCAATAAATTCCTACTAAGTAACTAGAAAAGATACTAATCGCTAACTTCGAAAAATTCAGAAGTTTACTTACGTTTTCGGCAGATTTAATTAAACGATGTGTGTCCACTTTTCACATATAGAAGCAAAAATTAATGAACAATAACCATTTTATTATTTCACAACACCTCACTTTCACGAGATAAAGTTTTACGTGCCAACGTACCGACTTCGCGGCGAGATATTTGTTGACACTTTGTAACGAAAGCCGAACCTACAGTCTACACCTACTGGCCACTATGATATTCCGAGGTAACGTTCAGAAACCGTAAGCCAATCCTTTCATTTCATTTACCTCGTACATCCCCACTTCTTGCCATGTGACAGCTGCCATGTGACAGCTGCCATGTGACATTTATACTGATATTTTATTGGTGAAAAAATATAGATAGAAAACTAGTTTAAAGTAGAAAAAGATAATTGAATTATTTAAGTTATATTGCTGAACTAGAAATTTTTAAAATATTATTATGTAGGTATGACCGTAGATAATACGATATATGATAAAAAACTTATAAATAAAAATTCTCAATGTTTTTCTTTGCTATTAAATTATATAGATATTTTTTTTATACGGAGTATATGACAAAAATTATATACAATTTTTGTAATATTGAACTGAAATTATGTAAATATATTTTGTCAAGTTTTGACTACTAATTTTTCGTTCAGAAATCAATCCAAAAGTCAACAATCTCGCTGTATTAAATTCATGTAAAATAAGAATAGTCATTAGTCTGCATTATTTAGAAGTTTATTCTTTTTTTATATCAACTACCTTAACTTACTTACACTGTCTAAATCATTACACTTCTAACTGGTCATAAGAAATTAGGTAAAAGTTATTGTTAATGTTTCTTTTATAATAATAACACTATTTTATTCTTATGTAAAATGAAAATATGAAAAACGAAATTGATCTGAGAAAGTTTTCAAATTAAATCATCATTTATAAAGATATAAAAATATATATACCAACGTTATCACAATATTTTGTGTTTAAACTTCATAATTTGCACAAAAACGTCAATTATGCCTTTATTCGTTGGTAACTAAAATGTAATCTAATTTAACCAATTATATTGTTCCTATGGTTTAAGACGTATAAAAATTGCTTAAGACGCCTTTGAATTAATTGTTTAATAATATCTATGTAAACAGTAGCTTGAATATGTGATCAATTTATTAATATTCAATTCCATATTGAGTGGTGTTGACGCCAGTACTAACCTCGTCTGTACGGTCCTTACGATATAAAATGGCATTTTGTCGAACTGTCAACTTTGTTGTCAAAAGAACCAGGCGTTTCGTTGTGAACTCCAAAATCGATTGTATTTAAATTAGTTTTGGCGCGTTTATGATTTGAGTATTTTATACGTATAGAAAGTATTTCATATTTTGAATATGGAAAATAGGTATCGTGTATCACCAAAGATACAAAATGAACTTGAAAGATTACTGTAGAAAATATTTTGTAAAAAAAACTAAGAAATTTACTTGAAGTAAAAAAAATAAGGTTTATTATGGACTAATAGCCAACAGGTAAAGGTCAGTCTGCCGATATAGTAAAATATAAGGCCTCAGCATAGTAACCACCCATCAGAGAAAGTGATCAGAGCTCCAGTATTTTGTATGATGAAGGTAAATGAAGCATGGGTCTGAAGATCTTCCTAGTGATTTAAACTTAGTAAGCTACTTCAAAATCTTTGTTATATTGAGTGCTTGGTCATAGAAAGTAGTGCTTTCCAACGATGGATGTTCAACTGGCCTCCCGCAGTCATTAGAAGCCTTAATTAGAGGACTAACCACCCATGAAAAACTACACTTCCAATTGTGTAAAATCCAAGGGCAGCTCCAACGTCCTGGTTGTGGACCGGATGAGAAGATTAGAAGCGATTTCTAGAAGCATTTGTATGTCCCTGCAGTCTTCAGATCTAGTTGACACGGGCACAGCAAATCGGGCTGAGTCGTTGGGTTATCATAAAAGGGCAATGTTCAAATTGCATAAATTCAAATTGCATAAAAGTGTATTCAAATTGCATAAAAGTGTATTTTGCTATTCTTAAGTATTACGGGTAGATATCAAACAAAGTAGTAAAAAGAACGGCAGTTAAACGACATATTTCAATATGTTATAGATAAGAGTGCTATAAACTTACTTGCCAGAGAGCAGAAAATATTTGGAAGTGGACACTGATGAATGGTTGAATATGACATCACAATAGTCCTAGAGGTGAAAGAAGAAGAAAAAGGATAAATATTTGAATATTATTCGCTTGTTTTATTAATCTACATTTTACCTGAGATCTTGCTTACTTTGCAGTAACTGTGATTTTAGGAAGCGAAAAAGTATCTTTTACTGGTCACCTACATCCAAAGATTTCATAATTGTTTTTTTTAACATTAACTATGTCTTTACAGCCGATAATTTGGTCACGAACATGGGATTTTATATTTGTACTGAGAAAATTCCAGATATTATGCCAGAATTGCCAGACAGTTTCTCTACTTAAATTGTTTACAATAAGAAAATATGAAGTGAAACCAAAAATTTAGATTTATTTAAGTTACGAAAGTTAAGACTTAAAATTTGTCAGAATGGATGAGAAAAGCGAGGGATAGGATTAGAGTAGAAATCTTTAGAGAAGGCGTATTCTGACTGTGAAGCAGTTTTAAAGCATAGAGATAATTATTTCCGAGATATGTTTTTATACGCATATCGTTTAATTATTAATGTTATGTCATTAAACTTAAACTTGTGTAATTAAACTAGTTTTGTAGGTTGAGCCTAGCTGTAATCATATATGTATAGGCTGGCTCGACTGGTGAAGTACCACCCTCTCACAGAAATTCGGCGTTGAGTAGCCTTTAATGACTGCGTTTCATCACATGCATGAGAGAGCAGGTTGTCCTTTCCTTATTCTTACCTTTTTCTGACATTTCTTATTTCCACCCCTCTCTATTCCTAAAAAGACATGGTTGGCAACACATCTACTTTAATTACTGCCCATCAAGTAGGCCGTCTGCTCGTTTGCCACGTTTAATATAAAAAAATAATAATAGTTAAGTTTAGTTCTAAAAATTTATATAATTTTTTTAATTTTATATCTTAGTCAATATATTGTAGTTGTGCCTTTTTTAAAGCTATTTAGTATGGCTGTTTTTTTTATAAAGACCTATTTATTACTATTAATATTACAATGTACTTCAATAATGTAAATTGCAGGATAAAATGACAATTTCTTTATCGATATGTTCTCTATTTTATCCAACTATAAAAGTATAATTTTTAATATAGCTATAGTTTTTAATATCCCTACTAATATTATAAATACGAAAGTAACTCTGTCTGTCTGTTACGCTTTCACGCCTAAACCACTGAGCTGATTTTAATGAAATTTGGTAATGAGATAGATTTGACCTTGAGAAAGAACACAGGATAGTTTTTATCGCAGAATTTTGAAAGGTTCTCTTGGAAACGCGATATAACCGAACTCCACACGGGTCAAGCTGCGGGCGGAATGCTAGATTAAAAATAAAATGATTAACACCCTAAACAGAATATTTTTTCATTTCTTTAACTATGGTTATCAGTTATGATCCAAATGAAAGCTTAATATGCGTCGTGGTTTCGTGAGACCAGATAATTTATTTTTTCATTAGTTGTACAGATATGAAAATTTAGTTTTCCCAAATCCTTATCTGCTGACTCGAATTTATCCAATTTTGTTTAGCACCTGTACTTAAACAACTTTGCAAGTCAAAGAACATTGTTGCGTTTCAAAACTGTTTTTATGAATGGGTTGTGACACCTCTACTATTTTATAAATAGTTAACTAGAAAAAAAATTAGCGGTTTTCAAACAAACAATGTTAGATTACTCTTTATTATAATTGAATATATTAAAGTATGGAAAGCATTAAGGTCGTAAGGATGTGTTCCCAGACAAAAATATTAAATTAAAATTCTAAAAAAAAATCATCTTTGAATATAATTTACACTTAAAGAACCAATAACCATTAAACAAATTCTTTTAAATTTAAAACCCTAATAAATTTAAATAGAAGTGACAATCGGAAAATAAAGAAAAATCTAGGTAGAAGAAACTATTCACATCTACTTCAGATCGATATTGTTTTTAAATTGATTAGGAATGTGTAAGGTTTGATAATAATAATTAGAGGCTTTTTATCACATAAACTTATTGGTCGCTACAAAGGAAAGTAGGTATGTAATATACATATATGTCTACTATTTACCACACTATAAATAATGAGTATCATTACAAATGTCTTTGAAGGAAATACAATTAGAGCAAGAACTTGATTACGTTTCGATTAATAGTTTTAGTTTCTGTAACGAAAAGAAAATAGAATGAAATAGAAGTTTCAAATACATATGTTTTTGAAATAAACCCATAGGATATGAATTTATAGTTCCGTGTATAAACTGATAACGCTATCATCCCCAAAGATTTAAACGTCAAAACAATCATATCAGGGTGCGAATAGGACGAATCAGATTGGCGGAATCTGTGTGAGTAGTGTAATGTGTGGGACTGCGCATGCGCGGCTCGCATTGCGCGGGAGCAGGGTCTGCGGTAGGCGGGCGGCCGGTTTCAGTTGTTGCGCGCCCTCGCCATGGCTCGCTGGGTGCCCCTCGCGGCACTGCTGCTACTCGTCTCAGTCGACGCCGCGCGCAAACCGGCCCCGCCGCGCACTGAGCCGCAGATCGAGGAGGTCACCTCCAAGCAGCTGGAACGGGTGCTGGAGGACAAGGACTACGTGGCCGTGTTCTGGTGTAAGTGCGCGCGGTAGGGGCTTGGGCTGGGAGGAGGGGGGGGGACGCCTCCGCGGCTAACGATGAGTTCATGATCTTCGGCCGCTTGCAACGCATCGCGACAAGATCCGACCGATATTTTTGCTTGCGATTATGCAACGGAGACAATAAAACCCGAGCCGACCGCGGCGGCCGTCGGGGCGCCTAAAATGGCGCAGAGACTCGCTCCTCACTGTCCCGTCCCCAAGGTCGCCGGGCGCCTACGCTCTGCTCGGCTAAAACTACACCAGTGTGTGCCACACGTTCAGCTGAAATAGATTTACATTTCATGATAGGGTTCGACCCCTTTACATCCAGGTTTCGGTATAAAATGAGCTGGTGATAATGTTATGTTTTATCATTTATTTTCCTTATTACAAAACCATAAAGCTAAGACTAGAAGTAATGAAAATATCTTATTATATATTATTTGATCGTACGTTGCAATGTCTTGTCTAGACGAGCAGAGCTTATTAAATCAGTGTCGAAACTGGGCACGAGTCACGACCGCTAGATCGCCTCTTGGCCGAGACATGATGTTATAACAGTAGATGTAATAAGAACGACTGCACATATACTTTATGTCTTGTTGCTAGTATGGGTCGAGGTTACCGACACCAACATAAACAAACAAAACTGTAATCATATTTTCTTTCGCAATCTCCAAAACATAAAAGACTTATGTATTTCAAACCGATGAATACCTTTTTTTAATCCGTGGGCACAAAAAATAATCTGGCTTTCTCAATTAATGGGACATTGGTGTTTTAAACTTAGTTTTTATTTGTACCACGATATTGGTTTTACGGTCAGCCAAATTAGCCTTTGAAATGTCTGGGTTAAGCTGTTTGTATTGGCACTTCAACTAATCATTGGTTGAGAAACTAGATGATTACCACATTACTATTTAGAATACCATTAGTTGAATACACCTCAATCCAATTTATACTAATCTACAATTGAATTGAAAATACGAATAGCTCTTGAACAGTAATTACGAAATAATCATATATATATTTTTTAGGAAAAGCAAATGTAATGAAATGTCTGGATAAAGAATTTTAAATATTTTCCACTGTCTGAAGTTACTTATTTAAAGCTATTTTCTTTAAAGACGTCTTTACTAGGAACTTTTTTTAAAAATAGACTCTGTTGCTTAGCATAGTGTGTAAGAGAAAATACATAATTAAGAATGTACAAACGTTTCTTTTGGAATTCTTCCAATATCAATTTGTTTACTGGATTTATACGAAAAATTTAACAAAATAAAATTCACGAGGCCTAGGTTACATTAATTATTGGTAGTTAAATACCAATTGTTAATAAATCGCTACATTCTATATCAAGATCTTGGCGTCATAATTTTACGAAGAAAATGTAATTTTATCAAAGTGAAGGTTAATAAAGAGGTAACTAAAATATTCAGCTTCCAGACGTAAATGTTATGAGAATTTTACGAGATGAAACTTCAAGGTAGATTCTTAAAGATGTTTATTGCTTGAAACACTTTACTGAAATATAATTTTGTTTAGAATCTTAAATTTTAATGGGTATTTTATTTCTGTTGTTATTATATTCTTGGGTTTACTTGAGTTACAAGTTGTTTAAATTATAATCGATTTAGAGGTATTCTGATTACTTATGAGTCAATACAAAATATGAAAATGAAAACAACATTGTTTTCTTAATAAAATTTAAACATTTTTAACACTCAGTTTATTTGTTTGTGTTTGCAACATAGACTACAGCAAGGTCAATATAGCTTATATGTACATATCTTTGTAGGAATGTAGTCAAAATATCTGTCCATCTAATAAAATAATTTGATATCCTGCTATAAATATAATTCATCTCTGAAAGGGATAACGATTAATTGGTTTTGAAACCACAAGCAATAAACAATTTTAATACATTGAACTGTTTTTTACAAAGACATTTTTGTTTTGTAGTAAATGGTTATTTTGATATAAGTTATACTTAAATAGAAGTGTAATAAGGTGGTCCTATGAGAATCAAACTCTGGCTTTAGTATTTTATCGATGGTTTCAAATGCTTCCGCATTCCATCAGTCATGAAGCTGGTTTCACTGTGTTCCAACTAATCTCCGCATGCTTTAATCTTGTTGCACAAATTGTATAGCATATAATACGGACATCAAACCAAAGTCTTTGAAAATATTGCGTCATTTCAATTATCAACAGTTAAAACGTATGCAAACAGTAAAACGGTTCTCATTTCACACTATTTTATACTAATTATCTCATGACTCCAGTGAAGACCTCTTATAACTAATTAATTATTTTAATGATCTACTCTGGCATAGATGTTCACTCATATAATGAAGGATGTGAGGAGAAAAATCCATCTAAAAATTCGTTGACAACATTTTTAGCTTATAGATATAATTTTTGGACCAATTTTCAATGAAAATCGTTTTTGTCATACTTATAATGTCTTATAATGAATGATTTATTTGAGTGTGTTATTGATATGTAAACCAGGTATGCACGATAAAAACTCACCTTTTATTTAAAGTGTTATGTTGTGTTTTCGCTCTCCTTTAAAAAAAATACTTCTATCATAATCAGTGCCGGCGTTAGAGGAACTGACACCCTGGGCAAGAATATTTTGGCGTCCACTTGAAGAAGTCAAAATCGAGTATTAATTTTGCTCTGAACAATGTGAGCACTGAACGTGTATTAAGAATTCTATATTCCATCTTTCCTTTAGCGTGACCCAGAGCTAACGACGTGGACGTAGAAAGTTATGTAGCTCTTATTTTTTTTTCATTTATAAGTATCCTACCTCCACTAATCGCCCCCCCAAATTTGGCGCCCTGGGCCGTCGCCCGCCGGCACTGATCATAATAATTAAGTTTCCAAAACGACAGCACTGGCTCACAAAGCACTTTCCATATTAAGGATGCTTATAAACGTGTTATGTGAAATAAAGATATTTGTTTCCATATACTATGTTATGTACTCTGTATATTTAGTGCTATAAGTAATTAAGGCCTTCATAAGTTGACAAAAAAAAGTTGTTACAACATGTATCTACAATATTGCATGTACAATGTACACAATGTACATAATGCATAAATAATTTTAGTTCTTTTTTAAAGACAACTTTTTAAAGTATACATAAATATATAAAAACGTCTAAGCCGCGATCGTACGCTTTTTAAGTTAGAAGATTTTTCTTTTACGGGATTATTTTTCATACATTACAATATCGAATATATTTACCTTATTTATATAGACAAAGTTTAAAATAAAGAAATAAATTAATAGCTCTAATTTGTCACAAAATTATTCGAAAGACGTAGATGCTAATATATAACGAAATAATAACTGAATATATAACGAATATAAAACATTTTAAACCATCGATTTTAAACTCTTTCTGAGAGTTTACGTGCTTTAGAGGAAATAAATTATTTTACACTTTCTTATAGCTGTTGAATTTTATGAAATTGTGTTTCTATAAAACGTTGATTAATTATGATAATAACCCAAATTCGTCAGGCATAATTTGATCATAAATCTAAATAAAAATTAAAAAAGAAGAGACTATTGTACTCTATTTACAATGAAAACGTTTTCGCTTAGAAGAACCTAAAACAAATAATTAATCTTTATCTACTAGTAATGTTTATTACGTACTTAAACTAAAAACTATCTTATACTTTAAAACGCTATAAAATAAGGAATCGTTTATTTTTTCGTCATTTATATTTCTTTGGACTCTAGCTTTAACTACTTTGACCTTTAAAAATGATTTATAGTTTACATATGTATATGTATTGCTTTTTGATAGTAGCTATTCTGCTTTATGAATATCTTTTGCACATACTTTTTATATGAAATTAAAATTAATTCAAATTCAATAAAATAATGATGATAATAATATATGTATATAATTTTTTATCTTCTATATATATAAAAATGGATTGCTGTTCCTTAGTCTCGCTAAAACTCGAGAACAGCTGACCGGATTTATCTTATCTTAGTCTTGAAATGTTCGTGGAGGTTCAGGGAAGGTATAAAAGCTTAAAAAAAAAATGATTCATTACTGGGAAAACCATAAAAATAGCCCTTTTCTATTTCCCATACAAACGTTCTTTTTGACATTACATTTGACAAATAACTAATATGTCAATCATTATGTCGCAGTTCAAAACACGGAGATTTATGGCTTACAGGTAAATTCCAAAAATATAAATAAAGAAACGTAATAGATATTTCTTGATTATAGGGCGATACGAAGTTCGCCAGGTCTTCTAGTTCATTATAAAAATAAAGTCCAAACGAAACTTCTAGAAATTTAGTTTAAAAGCCGATAAACTAATTTATTTATTTACGTTTTTTTCAATTGAACAAACATAATGAATATATTAAATAGATGATAAATATTAGTAACAATATCTGAATCATATATTATCTCGTCATATTTATAATATTTTACTTTGTTATATAAATAAATGTTAAAAATATACACGTGGCCAAAATAGCTATTTTAATACGAGGTATAGTGGTAAATTTCTTGTTTTACGTAGCACTGACGTAGTTTTCAGCTTTCCGATACGTGAATCAAGTCTCTGAAAATATAATATACGTTAACTGGGTCATTCTGGATCATCTGTTAGTGTTTCTGTATATATATTTGATATAAAACTCTTTTGGATTGCCTTGCATTCGATTAATCTTTAATTCTGGTGTAACATTAAAAGTATAAGTATAAAAAGTTAGTGAATAGTTTACAGTCCTTTTTTTTACTTCTCACAATTGATTAGTAATAAAATAATAGTTCTATTATACCTATTATTGTATAAATCGCTATTTTGAATGTGTTAAATTGTATTGGAATTTAAAATATATAGGAGTATACCGACTAAAAGTTCACACACAGATACAAAAATAGACATTTGTAAATATGGTAATGTCTGCAAAAATTCATTTAGTGATTAAATCAGATAAAATTTAAGGTTTTTTTCCGCTAACAACTAAATATGGTGGAAGTTTCTTCTACCATCATTATATATTAACTTATTATCACAAGTATAGTATGATTTCAAACGTTTACAAACTCTATTTAATGCGGTAAATATGTTAGTGGGGCGTTAATACTACTTTATGTCCAAACTGACGGTATATTTACCAATTTGTCTATAACTCTGCGTATAGCACTGCTTTAAGATCTAGAGTATAATATATTTATAAATAAATGGTAACATTGTTTAGAATTTGTTCATCTTAACTACATTTTAATTCGTAATATTTAGTACCTTTTAGGGAAAAATTTTGTGCTATTAAATTAAATTTATGTTGTACAGTATTTTCAGTTCCCTTATTAACTGATAATCATTTAGTATTTAGTTGCATATCTTGTATTGGTTTAGTTTTTGTCAAAATTTAAACAATTCCATAATAAATTATTGATAGAAATGTGATGAATAAATCTCAAATCTTAATAGCCGAGGGCTATTAATTAATATTCTTCTCTACAGTGCTAAGAATATGAATGAAGTGAAGCAATTTTAAAAATATAATATAAAAAACTGAAGTTCTTAGGTAGGTGACGAATGACGAACGATCGTTGCCGAAACGCCAATTTTTTTTTGGTTCGCAACATTAAACAATGTCGTTTCTTTTTCAATGCTCTTATACAAAAAATATTTCGTAGTATAGTAAGATAAGTCTAGAAGCAAATTGAAAAAAGTAAATCGTTGATTCAAGAGTTTGTATGTTAATTATAATAAAAGTTCTTCTCAATAGTTTGTTATTATTATTTTTCCGTTATAGTGAAGGTTACAAAATCAAGAGTAACGAGTAAATCAACGTTTGTACAACGTGGGCAGACGCGCGTCTTATAAATTTTCATGGCAGAAGCATTTCTTCATGAACTCTGAAACTTCTGCAGTAGTGTTCAAAATATCAACGACGTCTAATACGCCAAAGGCCACAGCCAGTTCCAAAATAACTATATTAAATGTTTTAACAAAATCTGCTATTACCGTCAATAATACAAGTATTTAGTTACATTCAGAAATATACAAATATTCCTTAAGTTTTCCATTGATGATTTTCGAGTTATGGAGTTAAATTTAATAAGTTTTTAAAGCATTTATTTTTATTTTGTGATAATTGAGGAGTGTTTTGAAAATTTATCTTACTAAGTAAAAAAGTCTGTTAATTATTCCATTTGATTCATTTGCAAAATATAATTAGTAAATATATTTACTTTTTTTTCACACTTTAACATTACATATTTAACTTAACAATCATCTATTTATACATTTTTGCATTTTATAGTACTAACGTAGGTAGTTTAAACAGAAACACTTCAGTGTCATTTGACAATGCAAAATATATTCTAAGTATACCTACATAAAATATAAGAGGGAAGTACATAAGAAAGTAGTTGCTAGTATATGATTATGACCCTTTCAAGTGCATCTCAAACTTTCAGCATGTAAATCGTTTTTGGTAATCATTCAACTATTTTTAGATGCGAGAAGCTGTGTCACATGTGACAGAGTTCTAGAAGAATTAGAGAAGATAGATGACGATACGGACACATTTGGCGTCGACTTTGTTAAAATAAACGACAAGAGGCTCGCGAAACAGTATGGCATTACGAAATTCCCCGCCCTCACGTATTTCCGTGAGAAGGAACCGATTATATACGAAGGTTTGTATAAATTATACTATTAAATCCTAAGAAATCACTGAGCGATTTAGTTTTAAAGAAATTAAATAGATATCAATGTAAGAACAAAGTTGTGCACTTCAAATTTAAATGGAATTTCTCAATGAATGTCAGATGTAGTACATATTTATAACCATATATTATTCACGCGATAATCCAAATATATAACAGTCGTAACGGGTGACACTGACGCTCTAGCGATAGAATTGATAGGAACAAATAGATATGTCTTTGAGGTTGATCTTTTTGGCAGGGGATCAGAATTAATTAACTTGCGTTTTAAATACCATGCTATTAAATTATTTGAGATCTAGATCTTCTTAGCCGAAATAATGTAAAAAGAATATTCGATTACTTCACTTAATTGTAAGGAGAATTTAAAACAATCTAGTAACTAGCGTTTACTGTAGCGTAGGGTATAAAGAAATTATTGAATTTAAAGCATTTTTATACTAAAGGCTCTTATTTCTTTGACACTTCAGGAGATCTCATGGACGAGGAGAGCGTCTTGGATTTCCTGACGAGTTTAGAGGCAATGGACCTTCCAGACCGGATAGAAGAGGTTAATCAGAAAATTTTAGACAAAATTGTTGAAGACACAGAATACGTAGCCGTTCTCTTCTGTACGTATCAAAGAGTTTGGGAACAGAGTTTTGTTAAATAACTATATGAGTTAATGTGATAAATTTGAGCCATACTTCTAAACTAACAAAAGTAAATTCTGTCAGTGTAGTTACTGTAAGTAGTTAATTCTCTATCGCTTCCACTGGTTAGTTGTAATCTAAAACGTTTGTAAATGAGTAAATTGTGCTGTGTGTTTGACAGTGTTTTTCACTTAGGTCCTGATCACAAAAATTGCGGTCCGATGAACAGTAAGTAAAGTTTTCAGCTGGTGGTATGTTATTTATGTCGTTGTGGCTGTTTTTATATTTTTTCTAGCTTTTTAGAATAGTGTAATTTCGTGATTCGGACGTGCTTTCCGCTTTTAATGCGGCTGCGGTGGGTAATTTAAAAGATATTATTCGGATCGACATAATGATGTGGTGACTGTACTAATTTTAATCAGCATTCCATAATGTTTTGGTCAATTAAATATTTGGCTCCGGTGCAACATATCACAATAGTATGAATCACTTGACAACCAACATCGATAATAAACTAATAGCCGCTGCAATGAAGTTCAAATTTTTTTTGCTTAATCTAATTTGGTGTTATATAAGATCATTAAAACTTCTAAATTTAGATCATTTTAAATATCCATTGTAAAGAAAGACAAGAATCGAAAAGGTGTTAGCATCGGAGCGAGCGGCCAGCTATTTCGGCGGTTCTATTTTTGATTGCCAGCAAGCTTGGATTGACGGACCGACGTATCACGAACAAGACATCGTTTATACTCTCCCAGATTATAGACTACAAAAAATTAGAATGAGCTCAGACAGTTTGGATTTTATTAGACATTAAAGAATGACCTTGACCTAAATTATAAATAAATCCCTAATAAAACTTAAAATGTATCAACACATAGAGGAAAAAAACAATCAACTGATTTAATACTTTTTTTTAGCATAGCAGAATGAAGTTTTGAACCCCAAATGGACAAAAACTTGTTTTCTAGGACTGTCCTCATTTAGCAAACTCCATTCCTTACATGATAAAAAAGACAAAACAGAGGTCCCTCTAACTATCACATACAATAGATAAATAGATCCATGAATATTAATATTTATGATACTATCAAAAACCAGAACCACCATTGCACGACACAAGACGCTTGCCATAGCATACACAACAATTAATTTTAACTTAACACAAAACAACCTCAGCAATACGCTTAACAGCACTGCTTCGAACCCTATACGAGGCATGAATACTGCGTCTGCGTAAATACATATAATTTTGTTTTCATTATGGACCTATGCATATTCCAGATAAGCCTGAATGCAAGAAATGTGCTAAAGCTCTTCAAGAGCTGGAGAACATTGACGATGAGGCCGATCAACTCGGTATTGGTTTCGTTAAGATCCATGATGAAGAATTAGCCGAAGAGTACAGTCTTGGAGACTTGCCAAGATTGGTCTACTACAGGCATCAAATACCTATTATATATGAAGGTTGGTCATGTCATTTCCATTGATAGTAATATTTAAAGTAAACATGATATTTAAGTACTTGAATATTATGAGATTTTTATACAATATGAAGTTATTTGGAGTAAGTGGTAAAATTTTGTATAATTCTTTATTTTTAGGTGAATTGAGTAAGGAGGAAGATGTTTTGGAATGGCTCATTGCGAACAAGTCGACTGGGGACGAAGAGGATGTCATCGAGGATGTCACTGCTAAAACATTGAATACACTAATAGGAAATGTTGACAATTTGGTTGTTCTATTTTGTAAGTAAATTCAATAAATATTTATTTGGCAAAAGTCAAAATTGTATAATAATAAACTTTTTTGACTATGTAGATATTCGTTTGACCTTTGAAATAAATGTCAGAGAAGAACGTATAAAATGAATTAGATATGTAAATATGGTAGCTAAATTGAAACTATATCTATAGTGTGTTCAACGTGACTTTAAATAAATCACATGGAATTTAGGGCTTAATGATAGCTTCTGTCTTACTCAAGCGTCTGGACTTTATTAATGCAAAAATTAATCTAAAATCCGTAGAACAGAATTTGCGTAAGAGAGTCACAGACATAAGACATAAAACAATACTTATATTCGGACATCATTAGTAGAGTTTTAGAAAATGTGTTTGACCAATACCTTATGTTACCAATATTACCTCATACGTCTATACGTATGAGGTAATATAATGAGGATTTTATTAAACTGTAATCTATGATTTAATAAAATCATAACATTATATTACAATATTATTAAATTATACATTATATTTTTTCAGACGATCACGGCGACGAAGATTCAATGACCGTGCTGGGAGAGTTGGAAAAAATTGATGACGATTGTGACAGACATGGAATCCAATTCGTTAAAATCGATGATCCAAAAGCCGCGGTTGAATTCGGGATTGATGATCTTCCCTCTTTAGTATACTTCGAAAAGCAGATCCCCAATGTCTACGATGGTAAAAATAAAATTTATAATATGTTGATACTTGTTTTAAGATTATTGTATATGTAAGTTATATGATCATATGTTTCTGTAGGTGAACTAGAAAATGAAGAAGAAATTTTGGAGTGGTTAGTAGATCAGCTAGAAAAGGACGAAATTGAAGATGTTACAGATGAAATGCTTGATCGCCTTATTAAAGATGGAAAGACTGTAGCTGTGCTGTTTTGTGAGTATTAAATCATGAAGTAAAAAAAAAATAACGAATAGTGTTCATTCGTATTATTTTCAGCATATTTCTGTCATACTTCTTTGCAAATGAAAAAAGTTATTCGAAATTTTAATATTTTCGTTTGAGAACAAATTGAATCAACTAAGCTAACCGTGAATTTTTAATCGAAAACTACACCAAATTTCACCTTAACAGCGTTCAAGTTAATACTTTAAAATACAATTCGAATATTTGAACTCATTATTAGTGTAATAAAAACTAATTATTGCTTTTATTTTAGATGATAACAATGACCGAAAATCTCAAAAAGTCTTAAATGAGTTGGAAAATATTGATGACGAATGTGATCAGCTAGGCATTGCTTTTGTTAAGATTGACAATGACGAAGAAGCTAAAGAATATGGCATTGAAAAAGTACCAACGTTACTTTACTTTGAAAAGGGAATACCAACATATTATGAAGGCAATTTAGAAGAAGAAGAAAAAGTCCTTGCTTGGCTTAAACATCAAACAGAAAGTGACGAAATCGAAGATATTACAGACGAAATGCTTGACCTCATCATCGAGAAAATGCCTTACGTCGCAGTTCTATTCTGTAATTATAGTTTTTTTGCTACATTAAAAAATTTGTAAATATTATTAACCGAAAATAGTTTATATCAAATATTTTCTTTATTATAGCTTTACGTTGTTGATATTAACGTTTAGTAACCTAAATTTTATTATGACAAAACTAAGTAATTGATATTTAAAGAACTGACATAAAAATGAAATACAGTTTTTGGTATTAATTACAGATGACAAGGACCATAAAAAGAGTCAGAAAATCTTGGCTGAGTTAGAAAATATTGATGATGAATGCGATCAGAATGATATTGCCTTCGTCAAAATCGATGACGATAAAGAAGCTAAAGAGTACGGTATTGAGACTATACCAACGATGGTATTCTTTGAAAAAGGAATTCCTCACATCTACGAGGGAGACCTCATGAAGGAAGAAGAGCTCTTAGGATGGTTGGTCCATCAGAAGAGACACAGTGAAATACCCGAGGTTACGGATGAAATGATGGACAAACTCATTGATACCGCAAAATACTTAGCTGTGATCTTCTGTAAGTTTTAAAATTAAGATATGATAATGTGATAATTAGAAATAGTATAATAATAAAATCGATAGAATTCTGTACTGTTACTATTTTTAATCATAAGAAGCAAGGGAAAATAACTGAAGTTTTCAAGCTGATAAATTTTTAATATATAATTTTTCTATAGTTATTACTTTATAGAGTGTTTTAAATATTTTGAAATAAAATGACGTTTAATCAAATATAAAAACAAAAAAAAAACAAATTTTATCGTCCATAATTTTAAATATTGTTTATTCTAGATGATAAAGAAGACAAACAGGATATCAGAATTCTCAATGAATTAGAAAACATTGATGATGAATTAGAGAAAGAAGGAATCGTCATTGTGCGTATCGATAATGAAGCTGAAGCAAAAGAGTACGGAATCGATCATCTGCCCACTTTGGTATACTTTGAGGAAAATATTCCAGCTATTTACGAAGGAGATCTTATGAACGAAGATGAAGTTCTGGAATGGCTCATTGAACAAAAAAACAGCGCTACTATTGAAGAAGTTACCGACGAAATATTAGCTGACCTCATTGAAGAACATGAATACGTAGTCGTTTACTTTAGTAAGTCTTTTATTCTATATCAAAGATATTCTAAAGTCTAAAACATAGAATTAAATAAATATAAAATTTAAACTGGCCATATGAACTAGAAAATGAATTCACTTTTTTAGTTACACATATATTTGAATTATTATTATGAATTTATGATTTTTATATATGTAAATGTGGAATTAAAATTGTTTTTTTGGAAAAAATCATAATCCATTTCACTTCATGAAGATAATAAAAAGAGAACATCATATGTAGTAATTAATAATATTTAAAAATAGGTGGCAACTGTGAAGATGGAGATGAATGTGATAATATATTAGAAGAACTGGAGAACATTGATGATGAGCTGGATGAAACCGGTATAATATTTGTCACGACAGAGGACGTCACTCTAGCCAAGAAATATGGAATCAAGACCTTCCCCACACTTGTGTTCTTTAGAAATAAAGAGCCACTTATATTCAAAGGTAATTTTATTTTACGTTTAGAATACAACTAATATATATGTAATGAGTTCGTATTTTATTATTTGTATTGATTTTAGGTGACATTGAAGACGAAGATGAAGTCCTCGCGTGGTTAACTGACGAAAATACTCTTGAAATTCCGGGAAAAATTGAAGAAGTCAATGCTAAAATGCTTGAGAAGATCTTAGAGGAGAATGAACATATTGTAGTCTTCTTCTGTAAGCAAACTTATAATTTTTTCTGAACATTGTTATAGATTAATAATTCGTATAGTTAAATTTTCATATATTTTTATCTTAGGCTTATAGTAAAAAATATGTTTGTTTTTTCTTTTAAGATAAGGAAAATGATAAAAAGTCTCAGAAAATATTGAGCGAACTGGAAAATATCGACGACGAATGTGAAGAACAGGACATAGACTTCGTTAAAACTTCCGACGAGGGAATTGATAAGGAATATGACCTTCCTGACTTACCGGCATTAGCTTTCTACAGACACAAATTCAGAACTATCTACGACGGAGACCTAATGCATGAAGAAGCCATTCTTAAATGGGTATTGGAACTTCATACTTCCCATCCTGATGTAATTGAAAATGTGGACAGAAAAACTTTGAAAGATCTGATTGACGATGTTGAACATTTAGCGGTATTTTTCTGTAAGTATATCTTTATATAGTACGCTTCTTTAAATAGAATCAATGATAAATGACTTATATGAATAAATTGGATTCGTTAAAAAAATGTATAGTTGCTACTTTCTAGTAATATTCATTTGCAAAAAATCGTTTATTTAATTTTTATGAAAAATATTTTAGAATATGCCAGTAATATTTCATCTACAAGATACAAAATCAAACATACATCATCGAAAATATACATAGATATACTATTAAGTTTTTGTGTTATACAAAATAAATGTCGCGGATTAAAGTCCCTTTACCTTTTTTTCATACTGACCACAAATTTTATATAGGTATTTTTTAATTAAAACTTATTAAGATTAATGTGTCATATTTAAAGATATAATACGTGCAATGTGTTACCTAAAAATATAAAAAATATTCATTCAATTATTTTTTTAATACTTTAAAAAAATAAAAATAACATAGCAGAAAAAAAACAGATACCGTAAAACATGAAAGGCAATAGAGAATTAATGTTTGTGTAAGTTAGTTTAAAATGAGGTAAATTAAACTTTTTTGTTATGATCTTGAGTAACCCTAAATATCAAGCAAACGAAATTTTTCCTTTAAATAATTAGGCGTTTTAAGTGAAAAAATCACACGAAGATCCCAGTGTCAATGAATAGAAAACGTGGGTTTTAAGGCCGTCAAGCTTATTAAGCTGGTCTTCTTTAAATTTAAGAAAATTTGTGTCGCTACAGTCTCAAATAGAGGAAAGAAGGGAATATGCTAGAATAATTTTTGAGACCGACGACGAACGACCTCTTGGAGGTCTCAAAGAATAAAAAATCTTCAGTTTAGATATTTTACATAAAATGGCCATAACGGTGTCCGGTCAATATGTATGCCTAAGTCTCTAGTTGAAGAACAGAATGGAATCATCAGTCCCATAAAAAAAAATGAGAGGATAATGTTCCCAATTAATTTTAGCCAACTTGCAGCGACTACCAATAACTATCAGGGTTAATTATGAGCCAAAATTGATGACTTTATTTCTTACTGGAGACATGTTCGTTTTTGCAGAGCCGAGTCTTATTACCTTTTCTATTCTAACAAATTTTTATTTTATAATTTACCTACACATTCTTGTTGTAGATAATGACAACTGTGACACGTGCGAGGAAATATTGGAAGAATTGGAAACGATTGACGACGACACCGATAAACATGGAATTCAATTTGTTAAATCTAAAGATTCAAAATTAGCATCTGACATTGGAATTTTCAGTTTTCCCGCTCTAGTTTACTACGAAACTGGAGTACCAATAATGTATGACGGTAAGTCACATAAGATAAAGAGAGAGAATCTACGACAGCATAAAGAGCAGAAAAGAATAAGGTTTCTTGAAATAATTATTTTTTAGAATTCAATGTACCAAAACTTTTGTGATTAAAAAAAATTGTCCACCATTTTTTAGTTGTTTGTACATAAAAATTTAACGACTTGTCCTGTTTATAGGTGACTTAAAGAACGAAAATAAGGTTCTCCAGTGGCTTGTAGATCAAAAAAGTAAGAATCCACATCCATTTAAAAAATTAATTACGTAATATCTTTAAGGGTTAGGGATTTTAATGTTAAGAATAATGAGTTTAAAATTACGTGCATGACATCATTCTTGCCATATCTTTGAATAAACTATTTTACTTTACCTAAGCCTTAAATGCTGGATGTTTGAGCTATGTCATTTTGCATGACAGTTACTAATGCCTGCAGGTGAAGATAGCCACCAACAAAATAAACCTAATCCTAAATCCAAGGCCAATGCAGATGGTGAACGGAAGTCGAAATTCATGGCAAGAAACTCAGATATAGCAAAGGAAGCCTTAGCGAAGAAATTAGGAAGTTCAAGGCTTAATCGAGAATTAGAAGTTAACAAAAAAAGCCACGAAGGCAAGTTGACCCATAACGAAGATGACGACGATGACGATAATGATAGTGATGACGATGATGGTCATTATAGTATCTTAGGTTCAATTAAAAAAAAACTATCTTTATTTAAAAATCCAGTAAAAGAAAAAGTAACAGTCCGATTTCCTAAAACAGTAAATAAATTCAACAGACCTAAAACTATAAATAATGTTGGAGATGACAATGATGATGATGACGATGACGATGACAATAACAATGACGATGACGATGACGACAATGATAATGATGATGATGATGACGATGATGACGATGATGACGACGATGACGACGATGACGATGATGACGACGATGACGATGACGACGATGATGATGATGACGATGAAGACGATGACAGCGAATATGATGACAAAAGTAACAAATTAAAAAAGTATTCTAACAATATACGTCAAAGAGTAGGTAAGGCACGCAAAAATGATAAAAATAGTGACAGCAAGGATGACGATGATGATGATGACGATGATGACGATGATGATGACGAAGACGATGATGACGATGATGATGATGATGATGACGATGATGATGATGCAGGAAATGAGGATGATGATGATGATGATGATGATGATGATGATGATGACGATGATGATGATGATGGTGATAGTGGTGATGAGGGGGGAGGCATTTTCAATAGGATTAAGAAAATGATAACAGGTAAATTAGTAAAGTTAAATCCTGAGATATGACCCTGCACGGAGGCACGGATGTACCCCTGTTACACATCTGCATGGTCGAATAGGAGCCCGCATGGGTCCATTTACACCAGCTGTTGCCTGCAGTCATTCGCGAAAGCTTATCAGTATTAAAAGTTTTTAGACCTTTTAATTACTAACATAACATTTAGAATTAATAGCGCGATTAACGGAACGCGCCAATATTATAAACATGCACAGTATTAACGCAGTTAACTTTAATTCATAATTTGTACGGATATAAACAAATTTTTACTGACTGCAGGCGATCGCTGTTTCTACATTGGATTGGGGACGAAACCGGCTATTCCAAAAATCACGTACGAACCCTACCAGTGCTGTCCCACTAAAGTTCAGAGCCCAACTAAAGTAGCGAAGGCGACCCCGACCAAGGTTCCAGCTAAGAAACTCGAAAAGGAAAGAAACCCCGGCCCTGAGAAACCAATTAAGGGCAAAAACAAGGCACTTGCTAAGCCGGAAAAAGCAGGCAAAGGAAAAAAAGGTTTATTCGGCTCTGAAAATATTTGGTGGTGGTAAAAAGCAATAATTTGAATAAGAGACAATAATGTCGTACAATATGGTTATCAAAGGGGCTTGCACTTGCGGGATCAAGTGGACGCGAATGTTATTATTTCTCTGAAAACGGTTTCATCTCCAAATTAATAGACGTTCTAATATATCTAACGCTGAATTCTTTATCACATTAACATTGCTATTAATAACCTCGTGTCCCTTGGTCCCCGCAAGCACTTACCAGGGTTGTATTTATAATATTGCACATGGACTGTATTAATATAAAACAGTAGCTTCATAATAAATTCTGTCAGCGACATTGGGAATGCGAGTGCAACCCTCATTATTTATTTTATCTATCTATGTATATCAAGGTCTGCTTTTGATATAATGTATTCTCTGAGAACTTGTGGAGACTTAATATTGGGATGTCTAGTGATGTTGTTAATTTGTACGTTGATGTATAAATCATTATAATAATAGTTATTCGTTACAAATGTTTAGGAAATAACTAATAAAACAACAACACGGGGCATTATTTCACCTTATATTGCCTTGTTATCTTGAAAGACTTATTCTTGTAAGGATTTCATGTTCATATAGTTGTCTAGTCTTCATGGAATCTCATTATTTTGTAATTTGTTGAATTTATTTTTAGAATATAAATATAAAGTATCTCTTACTATCTTAACCATATACAATTTAAGCTACAAAAGCAATGCCAGATTTCAGGTGTTTTAAAAAGTGTAGAATTTATTTTCCTTTTATTTTTAAACAAAAACGATTTTGATTATTGTTATATATAATTATTAATTATATAGAATTTTTAACTGATACATTGAGATTATTTTAACTTTAACTATAATTCTGGCATTGCATCATGAGGGGTTGTATTGTTTGGCCGTAAATCCGCATGATTGTTTTTTATTTATTCTTAATGTTGATTCTGTCGAGTCGACGCTCATACAATGTTTTGTTAATAAACACATTTTCTATTATTATTTATATTATTTACTTCTACTACATACATATTTAGTATTTATTTATATTCGAATGATGTCAGCATGGTATTGCCGTAGTAATCGCGCATGACAATTTTTGGACACATTCTGGTGAGTTATTAAGATCAAGTCAAATAAAATGGATGTGGTTTCTTATTCATAAAGTCTTTGAAACAGGAATTTTCAATTCCTAAGTAACTGTAAAACTTTCTAGGAAACTTATTGGATGAAACTGAAGTTTTGGATTGGATGGTTAAACAAAAAGAAGATGAAAGTATTGAAGAAATTGATAGAAATAGATTATCAAAGTATATAGAGACAAAAGAATTTTTAGCAGTTGTTTTTTGTAAGTAATCTGAATTTGAATGCCTTTTTTAACACTGAAAAATATTCTAATGATAGATACTTTCAGACAAGGAAGAGGATCCTCTAAGTCCAAGAATTTTAAGACACGTAGAATTAATTGACGACGAAGCCGCAGAATATGGTATTAAGATCGTGAAATGTAGTGATCGTCTTATGGCAAAGAAATATGGTTTTCGAAACCCCCCGGGAATAACATACTTTAGGAAAACTAAATACATCAATTACGACGGGGACATGGATGATGAAGAAGAGATATTGGACTGGTTAACAAATCCCGAAAATATGGAACTCACGGATCATATAGAAAAAGTTAATAAAAAAATGTTCCAAAAGATTAGACAAACGTCGGATTACGTTGCCGTTTTCTTTTGTGAGTTTTAGTTGCAGTTGCTTCATGCTTATTTTTTTTACATCAACTGAAATATCTGAATAGCTCATATATTCTTATTACATCTGTATTCCATATCTCACATGTTTTAGACAGTAATGACTGCAAACAATGTCCAAAAGTACTGTTAGAAATTGAGCACATTGATGATGATGCTGATGCGGCCGGCATAAACTTTGTCAAAATAAACGACTGGCAGATGGCGAAGGAGTTTGGAGTTTTTGCATTGCCAGCCGTCTTGTTTTTCAAGTTGGGTTCTAAAGATCCAGTCATATATGCTGGTGAGCATTTAAATTTTGTTATTCGTTTGGTCGACAAAATAAGGATTGTTTTGTTGGTTTTGATATAAAATTATGACAATGTAGGTAGCTATTACATAATCGTTTATGTTTTATGAGATTTTTTATATAATATTCATGATATTTCATTGTTAAGGTGATCTCTATGATGGCCAGCAATTACTTAGTTGGCTGCTGACTCAGAAAAACCCAGCAGGAGACATAATAGAAGCATTGGAAGGACAAGAGTTACTGGATCTCATCAGCGACTCTGGTTCTTTAGCAGTGTACTTCTGTGAGTTAATTTTATATTTCTTTTAAGAAATGTTATAACTTTGTTTTATATTTAATTTACTTTTTATTAGGGAATAGAACATTATGTGAACTATGCAGTCTTAAATCCTCGCAACCAAAAAAGCCAAAAAAGAGTTTTAGAGAAAACGAGGACGAAGAGTTACAGGAAATAGCCTTTGGTATTCTTACCCATTAGAAAAGATGTTTATGATATTCTCCTTGCTACTATAGTCCCATTGCATGTAGCATGTACATACATTCAAGTTTTGTATTTTTGTACGAAACCATTTGTGTTCTTAGCACTGAGCAAGTAGCGCCTTAATAAAATATAAATGTGGTCCCGAATGAATAGTATTTAGCATCATCAACTGTAGTTTAGTTTTGTTAAAAAAATTGGTTCTGATGGTTGAAAGTTTTACCTTACCTCAGTGACTGCACAGTCCCATGTTTTCAAGTTTACTATGTAAACTATTGTAGCTTTTTAAACATCGTATGAAACATATGTTCTATGAATTCTAGATTCCCTCGATTGTGAGCAATGTTCTGGAATATTGGAAGAATTAGAAAATATTGACGATGACTGTGATAGGCACGGAATCAAATTTGTCAAAACACAAGATTACTCGATTTCCGAATCATATGGAGTGACCGATTTTCCTGTCCTTGTATACTTCGAGAATAATGTACCAAATGTTTATGAGGGTTCTTTAGCTGAAGAAGAAGAAGTGCTTCAATGGCTTATCACACAGAAGACAGAAGATCGTATTGAGTTAATTACTAGAGTAATGCTTGAGAAAATGGTTGAAGAAACTCAGTATTTAGCAGTATACTTCTGTAAGTAAACTCGCGGCAACTTCTTCGAATTTCTTAATTACTATAAAACTTTTAACAAAAATCTACCGACTATACAATATTTTACAATACTATTTCATACTTAAAGACTTGATAGTTAATTTAGAATTTTCTATTTATGATTAATATGTCAATATTTATTATTTGTTTAATGTTCATTTATTGTCTTTATTTTAGATAAACTCAACTGCCACATTTGTGACCATATTCTAGAGGAATTAGAAAAGATTGACGATGAATGTGACGTATATGGCATACATATGGTTAAAATTCAGGACCCTCAACTTGCGAAGAGATATTCAATTAAAACTTTTCCAGCTATGGTGTATTTCAGGTAATGTCACTGATGAGTAACTACAAAAATGACTGCTAGCAACATCTAAGATTAGAAGTACTGTTATTATTATATAATTTATTTATTACAGAAACGGAAATCCGCTCCTATTCGAAGGTGACCTACAAAATGAAGAATCTATTCTTGAATGGCTTATAGACGATGATAATCGTGAACTTGCGGACGAAATTGAATCCGTCAATGACCGAATGCTCGAACGTTTGTTATACGAGTCCCATTTACTAGCTGTATTTTTCTGTGAGTTTAAATTCTCTGATAATAACATATTTTTTAATCCACTTATCATAATTATAAGTTTTTAATGAATTTATCGCTGTGGTGAGTTTTATTTCAAACGACGTTTTTTGGACTACCTATATGTAATATGTTTTCTAAGCAAAACCTAGTTACAAAAATTGTATACATAAGATTTATTGTTTCTTATTTAGACGATGAAGAAGATTGTCCAGAATGTCAGGACATTTTGGAAGCTTTGGAACAAATCGATGGAGAGGTTGACCAGTACGGTATCGACTTTGTAAAGATTGCCAGCCCTGAAGCAGCAGCTGCCCACAATATAATAAATATACCTTCCTTGGTATATTTCCGGAAAAGAGTACCAATGTTATATGATGGGGACTTACATCAAGTGGATAGAGTATTACAGTGGTTAACATCTCAAGATGTTTTCGAAATAAAGAATGAAATCGAAGAAGTAAACAGGAAAATGCTCGATAAATTATTGGAAGAAAACGAATTCCTCGCCGTTTATTTCTGTAAAATTTGTTTTATAACTTATTTTGTAGAATCGTTTTGTTTTTTCTTATATCTAAGATATTTTCTATTTTTCAGATGAAAACTCTGTCGAAAGCCGTATAGTTTTGGATAAACTAGAGAACATTGATAGCGAGACGGACAATTTAGATATTACTTTTGTTAAAATGCATGATCCCCGGTATGCAAGAAAGTGGGGTGTCACTAAATTGCCTGCCATCGTGTACTTTAGGAAACGATTTCCAAGTATTTACAGAGGTAAGAAAATATTTTAATATTAGGATTATATACGGTCTCATCGTTCATATAATTGAAGGAATTTATATTTTCAGGTGAAATTATGGCTGAAGAGGAAGTTCTTGAATGGTTGAGGAAGAATAGATTTAGGCAGCCGGAGCTTAACATATTTATGTATGCTTTGATAGCCTTATCAATAGCGTTTGTTATGTATACCGCATTTTTGCTGCAGTGTTTCAAACCTTCGCCTCAAACACAGACGCAGCATCCAAAACAAGCGTGAAATGTGTTCATCAGGTTAAGCCTGCTTAAGTTTTATATTATATCTATACAATCTATATAACTTCTTACGAGGTTTATGGAACGTTCCATCTCCTTAATCGATCTTAATGAGAAATAGTATGTACTCATGTAATAATTCTTTGAGCTAGCTGAAACAGGGATAGAACCTTTTGCTACTTAATTTATACCACGAATACACTAACAATTATGGGATCAAATTAAAGTAACGTTTCTTAATAGGTTTTAGGATAACCTTCACCCAGTGTAGAACGCGCCTTTGTCTCCAACCATGTTTCTATAATAAGCTTTATATTTAAAATAACAATATTATATATAGGAACTCTTAAGTGGCTGACCGAAGTCACCTCTCCTTTGATATTTTCTTTTAATACAAATTTATACGGCATTTTCTTTTTCTTAAGACTGTATAATAATAATCTTGTCGTTGATCGTTTAGTCGCCATAATTCTTTACCTAGAATATATTTAAAGCGTGTCGTTTTAATACATTGCAAATATTTTTTCCACTTGATAATTTTTTTTTCAATTACAGTTTATATCATGCGACAATTTTGCTAAACTTTTTAACAAGACGCCTCTTTAGCTATTTTTGTTATTTCTTTAGAGTGGTTAATTTTGTTGGTTGTTAAGATTCGTATAAATATATAAATACTATATCTCTATCAATAATATGACGACTTACCTTTTAATTTTGCCATTCCCCGAAGATTGAGTACATCAAGATTGCATCGCCAGCTTCAAAATAAATAAATATATAGAAAAGACATGTTTTATTAAAAGAATATAAGGGACACACTAGAAACTTTTTCAAACAAGGTTACCCTAAAGATGCACAAATGATGCTCAAACAAGTTTGAAGCGCTTGAACGCGTGTTATATATTGTTAATGATGTACATAAAATGTAAATATTAAAAATAAATAAAAATAGTAAAAATAAAGAATAGTTTTTATTTAACACCTTTTACTTCTATAAAACATATCAGCCTTTGGTATGATTCATGAAGGATATGTATTTATGTATAATGAAATAATGAAGTGTTCGTAATTCATTACAAAAACAACTTAAAAACTATAAATTTGCGCTAAGGCAACATTGTTCGCAACGAATTTTCATAATATTTAATATATTAAAAATGTAACTCATTAAATTTAGATACATATTTATCGTATCATTTACCGCTTGTAAATTTTATGAATAATTTCCCTAAAAACTTAAGGAAATAATAGCCTTTAATTCCTGTATTATAATTCCCTAAAATTACCTACTAATTGACAGTGCACAAGTTATATGCAACAAACTGATCAGTTTAAATTAAGTTATGACTAGATTAACTTTTTCATGGTTCTTTAAATATTTCGATTTTTCAGTTTCAAAAAGTTCAATCAGTCTTCTTATAAATTCCTTGTGGATTTCATCAACTTCTTCGTTAGTTGGATCCGGGTTTTTTACTATTTCCATTGGTTTACCAACTGTAAATACATACATAGCTGATTAAATGAAAGTTTTTATCTTACTAGATTTAAAAATGTAATATTATTGATGAAATAAAGCAAAATTATTTGGAAAAAGACAATTCAAATACACTTCACTTCGCTTCCTAAGTAAATAAAGCTAAAACTCACCAACTGTAGTAATGGGTGATCGTAATGGAAGTACTCCAAATGAGTATTGGAAAACGCCGCGTCCGATCGGGAACATGGGTGATATTCCAGTAAGTTGTCGCACTTTCTCTTGGAATTTCCGTAGAAGACTATCTTGCGGGTTATCCAGTGGTCTGAATACGTCTGTTTCACCAAATGAAAACACTGGAACTAAAGGAGCGCTGAAAGTTAAAGAACATACATTTAATAAAATTATTATAATTACTTATTTAAACATATCAATAAATGAAACTAATATACATCGAATTAAATCTCGTCTACCCATGATCACGGTTGCTGCAAAGTAACCAAAACGTCGGGAGTAAGAAATTAAATAATTAAAAACGTGAGGTTAATTCGACAGATATTAGTTACGTTTCAATGAATACTCGCGAAAGTCTTAGATCTCATTACATCAATAAATATTGTTAAATTTATATAAAAAAATAATTTATACTTAATAATAAGTAAAGAAATAAAAATTTTAAGTAAACAAAAGTTTTCAAGTAGTAGTAGCAACATTTTTTGGCTTACCCTGATTTCATAGCAATTCTAATAAAACCCTTCCTCCTACTCAGAATGACTTTATATTCGCCCGGGTGCGAATCCAACGCCTCCGCAGCACCGCCAACAATCAAAGCAACACATTTCCCTTTATAGTTCTTTTTATCCAAAAGATGTAGTAGACTTTCTTGTGATGATGCACAGCAACCTAGCGCCAGCACTAAATCTCTAAAGAACGGTACACGAAAATGTCCGCCCAGTGTAATCATGTTGCAAGTCATTCCAGCAAATACTTTATAGAATTCCAGAGCATTAGTGGCAAAGGCACCGAAAGCTCCAGAACAAACAACGCCATGTGGGAAGCAGGCAAATAGATAGTTTCTCGAAGGATCCAAGTCTGTGGTTTTGACGAGTTTAATGGGAAAATAGTTTCGATAATAAACCCACCATGACCAACTCCTGAACCATTCTATTCTGAAATTATTATTTTTTAGATTAAGTAACACATTACAGTTATTGCTTTAAAATTGTTATCCATAAAATCAAAAAGACTACTCACGTTCTACCTCCCTTGTTGCATATTTCAAGGTCATTCAACATCCAGATTCCATACAAAAGTGCTATATACCAATATGATGAATAAACAAGCTGTATGAATAATAAAATACATGCTGCTTCACCGAATAATACGAGACAAATCCAAGCTGCTGCAGCTAATGTTTCGAGGCGTCTTGACGTTGGTACATTGAGTGGAGCCCATTCTATACCCAACGCGTTCGATATTGAACTGTAAATCATACAAAGATATTATTAAATATTTAATCAAAATGACAACCTTTCAGTATTGATATCGATATTTGATTTTGTAAGGTTATATGTTGAAAAATGAATTTGTAAATATATGTTTATGAGACGAGAAGACTTTAATAATCTATTCCCTATAGGTATTTAATTCATTAAATATTGATACTAATATTATAACTAGGTTAACTGGAAAAACTTTATTAGTATTTGTAAACGATAATAGAAATAGAAAATTAAATGGAGCTAAAGATGCGTTCTCGCCCTGTTTTTAATGCTATGGCTTCATTCGCACTGGAATCGTGGAATATTATGAAAATATCAACCTGTTTATTTCTTGGACGAATTATAATCTTGAGTACTGTATTGAGAAAGTACGAAGGAATTCGGCGAATGGAATGAAGGCGTTTATTTAATTATTGTTATTTATTTATTTTAATTGATTAAATAATTAAAATAACTTTATATTTTGTTCCAACAAAAACAAAGAAAACAGTTGAGAATAATACGTTGAGTCATTTAGCATGAAACAATTAGTTGGGAAGGCATAGTTCAATCAGATAGAGGTTAAAAATTATAAATAATATTCAATCCATAGTCGACATGATATAAAAACATCATGTCATTGTTAAAGTTGCAAGGTTTAAATAAATGGTCCGTAAAAATAATTAGATAAACATTGTGAATAATATCTCTGTTTCTAATAGATACATTTGCTTCGTAGTTCGATATTTATGGTATTATTATATCGATATTTATGGTATTATTATACTTTACAGGAGACTGCCACACAATCCACAAAAACTAAAGATCGTTGTACGTGACCTTCATATTTTACTCTTATTTTTGTCAAAAATAAAATGCCTAATAACTTGAACGCAAACAAACTAATTGCCCAAAATAGCATTGCTGCACTGGTCCCTTTAAGTTTTAACATTTATCTCCCAGACTTCAAACCTTGGAAGTCTTTCAAAACTCAGTAAAATTCAGCAACCCTTTTAACAAGCGTCTAAAGACCTCGACTTCTCATTAAAAAAAGATAGAAATGGTATGTATGAGAGCAAAAATCTTTCTGTAGACTGAACGAAACACCGTTTTAGTCAATATTAGTTAATCAATACATATGTTATTCTTAGTTAAAAAATAAAGGTATTATAAGTGATCATTTTATTGGACGACGATCTATTCTATTAGTTTATAGATCTGTAAGACAACTGGTTAGCCTTCAATACCACTTATTACTTGCACATCATAATACAGTATTTTACGTTGCGTTAGGCATTATTGGAAACAATCATAGAGTTTTAACTTTGATAACATAAATCCATAAGAAATAGTTGCATTAGAAAAAGTTCTATAAAACAAAATAGGTAAAGTATATTTTTAAGTAATCTGATTATTTTTGATAGCGTTATCTTTAAAATACATTCTTAAGTTAACGTCCGATAAAAATTATAAATATATGGGTTACAGTGTATTGTAAATTAACATTAAAATTTTATTTGCACGTGTTTCTCATATTGATGTAAAACAATTAATCTTGAAATAAAAGTTTTATAGAAACAATTAAAAGATACACTACGCGTTTTGATCCAAAAAGCTAAAAGTATTAATTTAAAATATTTTAAATTAAAATTTTAAACTTAACAAAAACTTTTATACCACGAAATGAACTTTGAAAAATTATGAAATAGCCTTATAAAAGTGTTACATTTACATACAATTTCAACATACTAATAACACTGCTTTTTAATCAATAGATACATATATAATTATGTATGAGAGGTCAATCTTCAAATCCACACTTGGGTAGGTACATGATAAAAAACCAATCAAATTATTTCATCACCAACTGTAAATAAATAATTATAAATATTTTATGTCATAATTTTAATATTTTTGTTTATTAAGCGTTAGATAATATCCATAAACATATAAATCTATAAAACTACTCTTCTCCATTTATTACAACATAATTCTGCGGTAGTAATGACGTCATATTGATATTATGATCACGATATAAGAATGAATAAAAATATAGTTTTTTTCATACTATTATATTATATCAATACATTTGAGACAATTATGGTACAAGTATACATATAAATTATGAAGTATGTGAGATAAGTGACATTATATTGAAATTACAGAATTGTTACCTATATAATTAGGTATTATTAACTAAGATTCAATGTCAAATCAGATAAAAACCGTTGATCATTTCAATTGTAGACAATTTAACACAAATTTACACTCGTCATAATTTTTATTACTGATTTCATTATAATAATAATATTCTTTGATGTTTAAGTATATATAATATTTGCATTATTAATATCGTTTTATTATAACCCAATTTCTAAACTTACCTAAATATTTTGACACATGTATCCATGTTTACCACCGCACTTGTTTACAATACAATTTACACACCCTCATAGCCCAGCACACGACAAACTACTGAGTCTAATCTCAATTCTCAACTACGGGTGTTTGTAATCTGGTTGTAAGCTGTGGGTTGTTATCTTTGTCATTATAAATTTTAATACAATTACATCGCCACTCATGTCTTTGCAGCTGTTTAAATTGAATTCTTTCTCGAAAGAGAACCGTTTTGTAGTGAATATTTGGCTTGTTCTAAATTTAAGCAATAGAAGAAACGCTGGTTATCTTCTGTGACATGTTTAGTCGTCACGGTAACGTCATTATAGTAGAAATAAAAATAGACTGTTAAGGAAAGCTTAACGAGACATATTTCGGTGGCCAACTAAATACCAGACATAAAATTTGTCATGTTTGTTTTTTATATAACAGTATTTTACAGCTAAGAAATAAGTATTTATATTTGTAATTTAATAGTCACTTTAAAGAAAATAATATAAAACTAATTGTTTATGCATTAATCATAATCTAGATTAATTGAACTTTTGACTTCGTACATGGGGCTTGTTTACACTTTTAGCTGACAAGGTAAAACTGTTACTTGATAAAAACGATTGTGTCACGAAAACACATGTGTTCCCATAATCCCTAATAATATTATAAATGCGAAAGTAACTCTGTCTGTCTGTTTGTTACGCTTTGACGCCTAAACCACTGAACTGATTTTAATGAAAATTGGTACAGAGATAGAGTTGACCTTGAAAAAGAATATAGGATAGTTTTTATCCCAGACTTTTGAAAGGTTCTCTTGGAAATGCGATGTAACCGAACTTCACGCGGGTGAATCTGCGGGCGGAAAGCTAGTTGTCCTAAAATTTTTCGTTTAAAGTCAAAACGTCCAATTAGGCGATACATCTTATTGTGTACTAGAAACTAATTAGTAATAGATAACTATAGGAAACTATAGATTTGGAGACGAAATGTTTTTTATTATGTAACATAGGTATTATACAGGGTGACTGGTGAATTACTATCAATATTTAAGGAGCATACTCGGTACATGATTCTCATTCGAATTATGTAAAAAAAATAGGTACTTAATTTTTGACCAAATTTCCGTATAAATAAATAAAGTGTGTACACGTTCCAAGTGTTCCGAGTGTGGACGCGTGCGGCGGCGTGCTGATACAACACTACGCCGCCGCCGCGTCTGTGTGAGTGTGTGTGTATACCTAATCTGTAGGGTGTTCATACGGTGCGTAATTAATTACATAACTTTTGGTTAACTTTACTTAGAAGTTTATTAATATTTATGTTATATTAATTTTTATTTTGTCATATATGATCGTCAAATATCACGTCCTCAAATATCGATAGTAATTCACCAGTCACCCTGTATAATATATTTAATTTTCTTCGGTTTTATTAATACAATTTTGTAATGGACAATGTAAGTTTCGATTAATTATTAACGACGAAATTATCTATTTCAATAGTTGAGATACAAACAGAAAGAAAGAAATATTTTTTTATTTCGGTTTAAGAATTATTGTCATATAATTTTGATTACATATTTTCAGGCATATATTAATTATTTATTTAATAATACACAAAGTCAGTATTCTAAGCATAAATACATATCTTCACCCTGTTTTTAATTCTGAATTGACAATGACGGTGAAAACTTCTGAAACATCGCTGTAACAATGGTATATTTATTATTTTCTAAGAAGTCGAAGAAAAAGAAGAATTACAGTCAGCCTAACGAGAGCAATATGACAAAGCAAAGATATCGCAAGAAACAAGTTTTTTTAACTATTTTCGTAAGGCACACATTAACATTTCTTCCCTATTACCAATTTTTACTCACTTTTGAATCTATACTTATAATAAATCTGTAGAGCGATCAATTCTGTACATAAAATATATTTAAAAAATAACTATCAGGGGGTGGTTAGGGATCGCTACTGATGCCAAAAATGCAATCAGTAAATTTTTTGTCTGTCAGTCTGTCTGTATATGCGTTATGGAAACAAAAACTACTCGCCGGATTTTAACAAAATTTAGCACAATTATTCTTCATACTCTTGGGCAGGTTAATGTATACTTTTCATTAAGCTATAATCAATAGGAGCAGAGCAGTGAAGGGAAATATTGGGAAAACGGGAGAAGTGACTCCATTTTTTAAACTTTCGTCGCGTGTGCAGGCTTATAAGTTAAAGCTACATAGAAATCATGTATGACGGAAATATTATCCTTAAAATTATATAAAAATTATTCCTCGACAGCATATGTCTATCTTTTATGGTTGACTCACAATAACACGTGAAACTCCCTATAGCTTAGCAATTTGCAGATTTCTGATTGTATTTGTCTACTCTAACGTTTACAACACTATCAATCATTCCTTATTTTTAAAAAAAGATAAAATTATTACCTATTCAATAAAAGATGTAGAAATAAATACCAAAGTTATACAATATGAAATAATAAGTAATCGGGCGTGAATACAGTCATACTATATCTAAGGATTACTTTGGTGTATCGGTTGCCGGTTAACATCGATTCCGTGTATAATTTCAATGTATTAACTATTTCCGCTAATTAAGCAAATATTGAGTGAAAATAAATATACAAAGAGTCAAGGAAATATATAATATTTTGAAGTTTCAGTGAAAAACTAACAAAAAGTGCTTTAAAACAACAATAAAACGAAACCACATTAGGTACATCAAAAATTACCGACTTTCTCAGTTTTAACTAGGAGACTTAATAACTAACAGTGAAGTGAAACCTAAGTTTTTAATTCTGCATTCCACAAATTGTGCCTTTTCTACTTTAATAAATGATTGATTCCGATATAACATAAAAAGAAAGAACTCAATAATACGTTAAGTCGTGTTCGATTATATTTTTTCCAAAAGCGCCATCTCACGGCCACTGTCTAAAACAAATCGTCAGTCGCTTACAAATCGATCATCGGATTCCATAAACATCAATACTACCGAACCAAGTAATTTCACCAACAACCACAAGAGGACACCACGAGTATCAAAACAATATAATCTAACGAACATGGGAGAAATTTTAGACGCACTAAATTCTAAAAACAATAAAAAATGACTTGGAAAGTCAGACAGGAAATCCGAGAATCAGGAAAAGAACGTTACAGAGCAGGTCACACAAAATATAAGTACTATGTTTGAAGAGAAGTTTTCAACAATAGAAAAGAATCATCAACTTGAAAGAAAATGTGGATAATAAAGAAAAAAGGCTACAAGTTTTAGAAAAAACAAGCAGAATTTGATTTAAGAATTAACAATAATCCAGCAGAATCAACAACAAAATATAATACTAACATTGATGCAAACTTTTCAAGAGATTTAAATAAAATAGAATCCCAAACATATGTTTCCTACTTCAGTTATCACAAGCCAATTACATATTACGTAAATTGAGCCTACTGAATAAGTTTATATAACATAATATATTTGTTAATAATAAAAAATATATTAATATAACTTAAAAAAAATAAAATTTCCTTCACTAATTAATCGAAAGGAACTTCGTTCCATCCGGGTGTCCCTTGACCCCTCTAACTTTTTTTTTGCGTATCGGTTGCCGCACTCGATTCGCGTCGTTGCGGGGGGTATAAAAAGGCGGGGGTCTATACTTTTCTGTCGGAAGTCACTATTCCAAGCGAACGAAGTCGCGGGCAAAAGCTAGTATGAAATAAAGTGTCATCACAATAGCCTTTTGAGGAAATACCATTAATGAAAACGCGCCATGGATACTAGCTGATAGATGCCATGGAAACGTGTACCTACGTATTTTGAAGTATTTTCTTCAAACACTATATGTATTTCCGAGGTGGAGACGATTATAAGATAAATTTAGTATTACCTATTTTTTATAGATAATATTAAACTTTTTATTAACTGTGTTTATGTTAGAAAAGATTAAGCTTTTGATATGAAAATTTATTGTTAAAAGTTATTGGTTCACAAGTAAATTTGCCATAGACCCACCTCTCATTATGAATAATCTTCTAAAACGTTTGTTTAATTGAAAATACACTCACGCGAAAATTTTAGATATCTTAATTTAGTATCAAAATTATTCTTAATGTTGTTTTATACAAAATCCCCGAGAATATTTGTGCATCGGCCTCCAGACCAGGCATATTTATGTATTGTCGAGTTTTAAAGCGCGTTGTGGTGATAGAGCTTACGGTTCTTTGGGAAACTAACATCCTCAAAGACCATGCCACCAAGTTTAATAAATATTACAAGCCCACTAACGAACTTACTAGCAATAGGTTCGTCGTGGATTTGTACGCGGTAGAAGTGGGAGCGAGAGGTATAACGGGTAAATCTCTCTACCTCCTATTAAAAGACTTGGCCCTGTCCAGAAATAATATCGATTCATTCTTAGAACGTACTTCGAAGGCAACGCTAGTAGGTTCTTTTTAAATTTGGTTAGGTAGAGAGAGGACCTCGGACGGTGGATGTAAGCGTTTAACGCGCGTTAGGTAGGGACCTCTTGAACCTGCACCTAGGTCGCAAGCCCTAGGCATTGTTGAAGATTTTCTCCCTGCAAGGCGATGCACCGGGCACCAGCACGGTGAATCCATTAATTGCTAAGAAGATTCGTCTCATATGCTTGGTCAAGAAGTTTCTCTGTAAATCTTCACACTTATATATTTTTTAATTTGTAATATATAACAGTTTAGGATTCACTTCACCAGTGACAAGGTTTAAGGAAAATGGAGAATGGAGAATGTTATATCACTTAAAAAACTTAGCAAGTAATATCATACAAACAAAATTCCATTCCATTAAAGACCATTTAAATTAACATCATTTCAAATGGACCAAATAGAAAACAGAATTTGATTCAAGCCACATAATTGCAAACTGAAAGGTTGTAAACTACAATTCAATGGTACAAAAAAAAATACATTATAAAAATAGAATTTAATAAATATATTAACAAATACAACATATAATTTTATTTTAATAACAATTCTTTTTTCCAAATGTTTCCTTATAATTTTTTATTCTTTGTTCAGTTTCTTTTATTGAATCTTTAAGATCTTTGTGTACTTCAGTATAAGCTTTGATAGACTGGTTAGTTTCCGTGAATATATTACGCAGGATCGCAAGATGTAGTATTCTGAAACAACATATTTTAAGATTTCAAATACAATTACTTACATAATTTTATTACTATTGGGCTACAAATATCAATTTAGTTAGGATTTTTCATATAAATATATAAATACATAAATATTTATATATAAGATACTTAAACCATACTTTGATTTTAATTCCAGTATCCTCGTTTTGAGTGTTAACATTTCACTTGTATTAGTTCCAAATGTTGAAACATCCTGAACTCTATGGTTAAGCCATTCCATCATAAGTTCAACCTTTTCATTCTCTTGTTCTTTTAATATATTTAATTTTTCATCTAAACTCGCTTGGAGCTCTTTTATTTGGTCTTTTCTTGATTTTTTACCCGCTCCCATTATCTGTTTTAAATTCTCTAATTCTGATGTGAATGTGGGAATCTTGTTCTGGATCTTATTAATGATTTCTGTATTGAGCTCAGTTTGTTCTTCAAATGATAATTCTGTAGCTGTCTGATGCATAAATCCTGAAAAGTATTAAAAAAAACATTGTAATATTGTGAATAATAAAACCTAATGACATTGTTTTTAATATGTTAAGGATTTAAGTGAGACGTGTTGGATTTAAACAGCCTATAAACATTTCTATACAAATGCATAATAGTAATATTTATATATACCCAATATCGTCGAAGAACTTTCGTCTGCTGTTGTAAGTTTATGTAAGCTTGTATGATGAGTGAGATCACAGTCTGCTATTATCCTGTTAACTTTACCAATCAATTTTGGGGACAATTTACTCTTAGTGTCATTACAAATCTCTTTTATGATATCCAGAAGTATATTTTCTTGCACAGATTTGATTTCAAATTTCACATCTTCAGTGCTAGTTACGTTATCCATTTCAAGATAGAACCTTAATTGTTCGCAGAATTAATAAATAAATTAAATTCATATAAATACTTGTAAGACAGTACGATACTTCAATTCAAAACTAAAAAACAAGTAACGAAAAACAAATGCAATGCACAATAATGAATAAACGAAACTGAATTATTTCAAATAACGTAAATCATTGCCAGTGTTTAATATAAGTAGGACTACAATGGCAACTCAAATCAATGGGAATAATTATTTAAAATTATTTAATTAATATAACAGACAATTCTAAACAAATATAAATTATATTTATTTTTAATAATATCTAAATAATTCTGTCAAATATACTATAATGGTGCATATGTCAAGGTTTATGAATAAAAAGCTATTTATTATATATTGTCCATATAATTTTATTCGACCTCTTATAATAATTTAAAATAAAAACAATGGATTTTGAAAGTTAATATTGAGGTGTCAAATTATTGTTCACAGATCCTATTTTAATTTCCCGCATAAAATCCACTTTGCATCAAATGTCATTGCGTATATAAATTCGCAAATCTTATCGCTTTGTATATTTTTAAAATGCGGCTTTTTAAAAATAAATAATACAATGTAATGACTTACTTAATTATTTGTAGTGAAATATAGTCATAATACTTTCATACATTCATTGTTAACAACAAAGATTATCGATATGGATACCGCTTCCAATGGTCAAAACATGCAATCCGAATCTCAGAAAGCGGGGGAAAATGAAAAAAATAAAAGTAAACCCGGAGACACGCAGGGGAACTGTTATTGGTAAATATTATAGAAATTACAATTACAAAAAACATTTATTACAATTTGATTTGCTTGGTTTGCGTTTTAGTAAGCCGATGCATGTTAGATAAATAAATATATTCTTAATGTTTGTGTTTAGCGGCAAAGAAAGGAATCTCAACATAGTGGAACTGTTGTGTGCATCATGCAACAGGTGGTATCATGAATCTTGTATAGGATATCAGTTAGGAAAACTGGTACCGTTTATGACGAATTACCTCTTCATATGTAAGAACTGTTCACCAACTGGTTTGGAAACATTTAAAAAGAATCAAGCTCGTAAGTAAATTTACACTAATTATTCTCCCATAATGTATTCAAAATAAATGTATTTTTATAAATGTCTTATAATTTTACGAGTTTTAGCATCTTAATAATAAAAACATACTATAAGAAAGATTCACTTACACCTAGTTCCTATACTCCCTCCTTCTTTTTTTATATTTTCATTAAATAGATTTATTGTTTATCATAATATATATTTTTGTAGCTTTCCCTCAAATGTGTCTGACCGCTATTGCAAACCTCAAGCAAGAGAGTGCCAAAGACGGCACTAACAGGACCTTATTCAGTAAAGATAGAGAGATAATTCCCTATATTGACCAATATTGGGAAGCCATGACAACTATGCCAAGAAGGTAATATATCAATTTATTTAATACATGCAATTTTCATGTCACAATGTTAGATCCTCCATAACTAACGGCTTGACCAATTTTACATTACATTACATTTATTTGCATACTAGCTGACCCGGCAAACATTGTTTTGCCATACAAAAAATAGGGGTTGGTGATAAATAAGAAAATTGAGTGTTGTATGTATTTTTAATGCTAAATTAAAAAAAATTAAATAAAAATTTTCTTCGGAAAAAATATTAAGGGTGACAACCCTTATGAGTTAGGGGTATGAAAAATAGATGTTGGCTGATTCTCAGGCCTACTCAATATGCTCACAAACTTTCATCAAATTTGTTCCAGTGGTTTCGGAGTTCTCTGTCTAACACCGCAATATGAGAATTTTATATATTAGATTACATACTATATATTTTTCAAATCCCGAAGTGGTAAGGGTTGTTCACCCCTAATACATATTTTCTTTTAATTTTTGGATGAAATATATATATTTTTTTATAAAGGTATTAAAAATACAACTATAAATTTTTACTTTTTTATATGGCAAAGCAATGTTAGCCACATGAGCTAGTATTAATAAAATATTTGGCTCCAAAATAAATTACCTTAGCTATCAAATAATTTAAAAAAAAGTTATAGTTAACTACATTTTTAAAATTTGTTAGCTTTTGCTTATCAATTTAAACTGTTTTTGCCATATGTTTTTTAAAGTGTAGTTAAAAATTTACATTATAGACATTTGTATTTTTTTTTCAGAGTCATAGATGTGTTTTACTATAATATTTCACATTTTTTTATTTGATAAGCCAAGTCGCGGTAGCAAAACTTAATAACTTATAATTCTCTGCAATAAAAAATGTTCAAAAAATGATATAATTTTTGGTTATCATTGTAATAAATTATTTAAATAATAATTGTTTTGATTAAAACTCAACGACTGTATCATTAAAGATTTATCTAACAGAAATAATTAGCATGTTTTAAAAGGTCTCATATTTTTATAATACTTTAAATCATTAATTAATACCATTTTTCTGAGATAATGTTTATTATGCTTCCAATTGGATATTAACTTTACTTCTAAGTTTTGTAATGGGACAGTATTTAAATGATGCAATATGTGGCTTTCATTTTCATGTTTTAATTAAATACCTATAATAGTAAATACTTATAAATATATATTTTTTAAGGAAAGAGTAAAAATGTGGTGAATTAAATTTTTTAAAGTATAATAATACTAGCTAATTATTTGGCTTAGGGCCAGTTAATAGTATATCTTATTTACATATAGAGTCATAAGTCACAAATTCATTGGACCAATCCCTTAATCTCATAAGACACATTGTTGCGGTCACTATAAATTTTATATCCATTTCAATAATATTTTCAAGCAATATCATGAATTAAGAACATGCCTTTAATTACATTGCAGAAGCAAAGATTTTCTATTATTTCCATGTAAATAACTTATATTTTCACTTCTCATTCACTCCTATTTTCATTTCTTATACAGGGTGACCCAATCTTGGTATGCAACAGTACAAAGAGCTCTCATTAAAGATATTCAAGTGCTGTTTATTTATGAAGAGGATCCCACCCAAGGGCCGATGTTTGGTTTATTCAATATGGAATTGACTAATATCAAGCCAAATTATGAAGCCATGATCAAGCAAGGACAACTCAAGGTCACTGACATGGGAATTGCAACAGGTACGGTTATATGTATTTAGTATATATTTTCTTTATATATTAGTTCACAAAATTACTTGTAAATGTACACATATTTGTAGGTATATTACTAATTTTACAAGCTTTCTCAGAGAGAAGTAAGTCGTTTAAGTGATTATAGTGTGTTAAATAAATGTCTTGTTGATTTTTAATATCTGTGATATGAGAATTAGTTTTGTCTAAGCCTTTTATGTGAACAGACAAGTTTCTTCTGTGCAATCTTAAAGATTTTTAATTATTCTGTAATTGTTATGTGATATATTTCAGTGGATATTTTTTTTATTTGTGCTATGACTTCACTTACTCTACATTTGTGGAATATTTTGAAATGTTACATGCGGGTTTTATAATTTATATTCAAATTTATTTGTAATGATTGAAACAATTCTTATAAGATGTTTTTATTTATAAAGTTGATAACTTTTTAAAACTAAATGGAAGTTTATGTCAATGATTTTTAATTCTGCACATAAAATATTTTACTCTGTGAATTTGAAAAATATGTTGTTAGAGTGATTAAATAGGTAATTGCATAATTATTTATTTAAACACAAATTATATAAATACATATATGCTTTTCAAAAGATATTTCATTGTTTTTGTAAAATTTAAATTACAAAATCTGTTAATTAATCACTAATTTTATCTTAATTTTTCTTTCTAAAATTCATAGAGTTTATTCAAAGTGATACAATTACTTTTCAAAATCCATGGGAATAACTTTTTTTAAGCTATGACTTCATTCACACTGGAATCATGGAATATTTAATGTCAATGTTTTTATTCGTTGAACGAATTATAATCTCTAGTACTGTGTGAAGGGAATTATCTCAAAATATATTTTTATAAAAAGAATATTGCCTCACTAGTCTGTCAGCTGTTTTATTTTCGTATGAAATGTCACTCGTTCGAACATCGATATGTTCTTAACAATAACATATAGTTGTTTATATATATAGAAATAAAATTTAAACTCATTAAATACTATAATATAACACATATGTAGCGTTTGTATTCGATATTAAATGTCCACAATATTCAATGCCGTTGTTCGACCTTGATTTTATTTCTCGGTTAAATTATCAAAAATAACCCTTGAATGTCGATACATAATATTATCGCTATTAGTTCTGAATCGTAACTATTAATTAACACAAAATTAATTTAATTTATTACGCAAAACATATATAAAGTTAATCTCACTTAAGATAATAACCGTATATTAAACGAAATAAGTATCATTATAATCGTATTATCTATAGGAATGTTCAAAACTATATTGTTTCGCGTCCAGCGACAAATTAAATTCTAGATCGCTCATGTATTGAATAACATCGTTTGCGGACATGTGTTTGTAAACACACACACACTCACACCGCAATACGTGTGTCTTACTTCTACTTTAACTCCAGGCAGCGTTACTTCGCGATTTCTCTATCGATTCCATAATATTAACCTTGAACTTAATGGCCGGTGAGTGAAACTTTCTTTGTTGTATATAAGTGTTATATATTATATATATATTACATATATATTTATATTAATAATTGGTTTCGTACGGGTTGTTTTAATAGCATTGTTGTATTTGGGACGCGACATTACACACTTTATCTTATCACAGTTTTAAAAGAATTTGTCAAACGTTGTGTTTACATAATCTGGAACGTAAGTTATTTGTTATATATATGTGGTATATATATTTAATACATAATAATTTCATGACTATATATATTTATTAAAATAATCATCTAGAAAAATAATTACCAGTTAGTTAATACAAGCTTTGTTTTGTTCGTATATGTAGATATAATAAAAATTATGCAAAACGATACTACGTAGTCATTTCGACCCGTACGGATGTATGCTTTTATATTCTTTATGACATGTATATTAAGAGCTGTTATCCTGTAAACATAAATATGAATTGTTATTACTGAGTATTGAGTAGAATTATTATGGGAAGATGGTTATAATGTGGCTACTGGATAGAGGTTTTAAGGTATTTAGACTGTTCGGAATCTCTTAAGATAAAGTTACAGTTAACTAATTAGAGGTAATTAATTGGACCATACTAACTTATCAATGAAAACATAAGTATTAGTGAGTTTCTATTAAGGATAAAATACATATATAATAATAAAAAATACTACGTTTGCGTTCCAACTAGCAATGCATCCAAATGATTTGCATTTTTATTCTATAAATAGATATTGTGATCATTTCTTAGTAAGAATTACCTTCGGGAATTCGTTTGATACATTTGGTTACGTAAGAAATCGATTGTGCCAATACAATGAGACGAGATCGGTGAATGATATGCAAATAACAAATGCTATTAATTTATATTTCCTTTAAAGATAATTTTTTCTAAAGATAATTTCCTTTAATATCGTTAAGGATAATTTTGTTGTGATTTTAAATATATTAAAATGTTTGTTTACGGAAAACATAATTCTTGATTTTACTGCGATGTTATATTTTTGTTCTTGCGAACCAGATTATGTATGTAGGAAATAGTTTTATTAATTACGTCGTAGATTTTTATTTTAAATATATTATTATTTAATGGTATTCAAAAATGTTATGTGAAGATTTTTGACGGATACAAAAATATACCAAAATTATGATCATTATATGTATATGTATAAATTTTAAATACATATCTGTATGTGAAGTGTGAACTCATTTTAATATTAATTAAAATAAAAAAATCTAAATCGTGGAACGTTTGGTGGAAAAATGTTAGTTGCATATATATTTTAAGAACTCGGAAATGTTGAAGGTTTAAATATATGGACAGTTTTCAATTTGCGTATGTTCACCTCGGATTGATTCATCGTCTGTACGCTTACCACAAGTGCGTCACTACACACGGCGCGTTAATCGTTTTCTATACATACATTTTCTCACATTATAGTATTAACGTAGGTTATTGAATGAGAAAAAATCCGTATGTAATGTGATGATAATGTGTGAAGATGCGAACTAGTGTTAAGCGTGCTGGTCTAAATTCACTTTTCACTTAAGATCCGTGTCTTGACGGGGATTTAATTTGAATTATATTTATAGTTAAGTTTTTTTAATTTATTAGGAAAAAATTCGATCTTAATGAATTTGGCAAAGTGGTCCAAGACCTTTCCTCTTCTAACGGAAAACTCTTGGTTTGTTTAATTTTATATACAAGATAATCGTTTTCTACAGAACATATTATTTCTAGTTGAAAAGGATTATTATTTTTTTCAACAAAATCAAATTGTTTGCAGTTACTTACATTTAATAAAGCGAATATTGTATATCTGATTTGCAATGAAGCATTTTTTTACTTAAAAGAAATCATATTTTAGACACGAAAAAAATATCTAAATTTCTTATTTCCCATTACTTCATTCTCCTATTTCATGTATCTCTATAATCTTGTATAGAATTTACCTAAAAAAGGTTCATTAAAGATACGTAATATTATTATTTTTTATATTACGGTAATGAAACCTTTCGTTTTACAAACTTTTTCCTATTTATAAAAAACAAATAATTTTTTCAATCAAATGTGAAATTATTACTATATGATTCAGCTCGTACATATTTTTAAGTAAAATTAATGAATTAGGTACCTTAAAAATGTTTAATTATTCCGAGTTCATGATGAAGCTTAAATCTCCTGCGGGTGTGTATTATTGTTAATTACAAATATATGTACATATAATTTAGACTATACCAAAGTTTATTGCAAATCGAATTAAAATTATAAGTATATTCATAACAGTTGTCGTAAAAAAAGTACCACAAGTTCCATCGACAGACTACATACGCGGCGTTAATAGTTTTTCAATCATAAATCTCAGTACATACTTGTGTCCACGTACATTATAGAACGAGAAACGGGAAAAATTACGTATGTAGTGTGAAGTTGCAAACTAATTCTAAACATATACACATATTTTGACTTTACACTGTGTATGAAGAATGCCTAGTTTTTTGGTTTTGTATGTTAAAATTATTATTTCAGTTCAACTAGCTGGTAACGTAAAGGGTCGTCAAGGCAAGCGACGTCCCGTAGGTGTTGAAACAAGCGCACCCGTCGGTAAAAAAGGTCGATCAGCTGATTTGGGCGCTTTAAAACTACCCTCGCACGGCTACCCGACCGAACACCCCTTTAATAAAGATGGATACCGCTACATACTGGCTGAACCCGATCCACATGCTCCTTTTAGACAAGTAAGTTTTATATACAATTAAATTACGAAAATATATACGTAATTATTAATATCCAATAAAATAAATTAATCTGTCTAAATTGATTTATATTGATATAAAAAATACACGCGGCACTTTTTTTCTGTATAACATCTTAATATATAATAAAGTTGTGTTATTTACTTTATTATATACTAACGGGTGTACGGATATAGTTGAAAATTTAAAATAACTTAGTACCAGGAGATGGTCAATCGGAAAAGAAAAAATACAAAATAAATTCCATTATCTGGTTATTTAGGGTGTCTAGGTCGGAATTGAAATTGAATTTGAAAATATTTCAGCTCAAACTTTCTTCTGATAATCTGCTTCCAATGTAGATACGCGGTATTTAACAATGGTAGTTACGCGGATTTGCACTATCCCCGACGATAAACTCAAACTCAAATAACTTTATTCAATATAGAAGCATTACACTTTCTTATTGATGGTCACTTGATACACTACCACCGGTTCGGAAAAGAAAATACCCTGACCTGAGAAGAACCGCCGAAAGAAACTCAGCGGGTTTTTTATATATATATACAGGGTGACTGGTGAATTACTATCGATATTTGTGGACGTGATATTTGACGATCATATATGACAAAATAAAAATTAATATAACATAAATATTAATAAACTTCTAAGTAAAGTTAACCAAAAGTTATGTAATTAATTACGCATCGTGTACACACCCTACAGATTAGGTATACACACATACGCGCGCGGCGGCGTGTTGTTGTATCAGCACGCCGCCGCACGCGTCCACACTTGGAACACTTGGAACGTGTCCACACTTTATTTATTTATACGGAAATTTGGTCAAAAATTAAGTACCTATTTTTTTTACATAATTCGAATGAGAGTCATGTACCGAGTATGCTCCTTAAATATTCACCAGTCACCCTGTATATTTGTCTCATATATTATATGAACTATATAAGATATATAATTCCAATCTCTTTATGTTAAGTCCCTCCTATTTCCGTTTCCAGGAGTTCGATGAAAGCAACGAATGGTCTGGAAAGCCGATTCCTGGTTGGTTGTATCGCTCATTATGTCCCGGGATAGTACTGCTTGCCTTACACGACCGAGCGCCTCAGTTGAAGATAGCTGAAGACAGACTTGCTGTGACCGGGGAAAAGGGATACTGTATGGTGCGGGCTACTCACGGTTAGTGAGATCTAAGATTTTCGCGAATACTCATTTAAATGAAACTAATATTTTCGGATTTTACTTCGCGTATTTATTTTTGATTATCTTGAATCAAGATGAAGATTAAGATTAAGAAATCGATGGCGGTAGGTGATAAAAATAACCAGACCAACTGACCGACACTCACATCTCGTCTGCCCGTGATCACGGTTGCTGAAAAGTAGCCGAAACATCGGGAGTATGTAGTTTATAATCAAAAATAAAAACGCGAAGTAAAATCCGAAAATATCAGTTTCATTTACTCACGGTTACTTTGATTAAATTAAAAAAATTTGGGGTATTAAGGCATTTCTTTGGGATGTATCTTTTTGGTGAATCATGCTTTAATTTTTTTGTTTTGTATGTACAATTATGATATTCAAAAAGTTTTTAGCTAGTATTCATGATTTAATTCATTACATACATTCAATTTTAGAGACATAAACTCATATAGAAAAATTTTCTACCATATTCCGTTAAATCTAATGACCCTATATCCTACAAACCAAGACAGCTGAAATAACCTTCCGACCAATATACACAAGTATATCTAATTTATCGCAATAATATCATATATAAATTATATTTCATGGTACAAGGCGTTTCCCGCGGCTCGTGGTACTGGGAGGCGACCGTAGAGGAGATGCCCGAGGGCGCCGCGGCCAGGCTCGGCTGGGGACGGCGATATGCTAACCTACAGGCACCTCTAGGATACGATAAGTTTGGATATTCGTGGCGCAGTAGGAAAGGGACAAGGTAATTATCCCTTAACGGTCATAAGGACAGTGGAAAAACAAAATTGATGATGGTTAAGGGTATATGTCAGTGGTGGCCTAGTGGTTAAAGGGTCCGCCTCTCGTTGCCGAGGGCGCGGGTTCAAACCTGGAAGTACAAATGTGATTTTTCGGAATCATATGTACTTTCTGAGAGTATTTAGACACCACTGACATACGGTGAAGAAAAACATCGTGAGGAAACCTGGACTTATAGTTTCACAATTATAAGTTTGAAATCACCAACCCGTCTTCAGCAACCGTGGTGATTAATGCTAAAACCTTCTCCATGTGAGAAAGAGGCCTTTGCTCAGCAGTGGGCGTTGATAGGCTGATGACGAAGGGTATATAATATAAGTAATAACATATGTATATAAATATATATTTGTCAACCCTTTCATTGTAAAACTGTCTATTGACAATCATAAAAGTTGTCTGAATAAAAATAAATAACGACCGGTGGACGAAATATCGGTTTAAAATAAATAATATCATGGTGGTGAAAATATCGCCTCTAACTTATAAAAGGTTAAATACATGAGATGAAACTTCTTAGCATTCAATGGATTCGCCGTACCGGTGCCGGGTCCATTGTTGTAATGAGAGGACCTTTAACAGTGCCTGTGACTTGCGACCCAGGTGTAGGTTTAAGGGGTCCCTATCTAACGCGCGTTAAACTCTTACCTCCACTGTATAAGCTCCTTTCTCTACCCAGCCAAATTTTAAACGAACCTATTAGAACTTATATTATATACATATATGTATATATATTTTGTAATGTATAATGCTGTTAGCCCTGGGGCTGTTACAGCGTCACCGGTAGAGAATATTTTATGTATATATTTTATGTATGTTCATTATAATTATATACTATACTTAAATGACTTAACTCATACCATGTTTACCTATGCATCTCGAATTACACGAACATCAAAACTAATCAATATACTATACAACATCAATCTGTTTGTCCTAAATAATTTCTATACTAGATTTACTTATGGCACAGATTTCACGAGTCCCGTGGCCGTCACTACAGCGCTGGCTACGGCGAGGGCGACACTCTCGGCTTCCTTGTCATATTACCTGATAACGGCGCCGCTAAATACACGCCAAGCACGTACAAAGACAGGGTACTATTATATCTAATTAATTTTCTATTGAATGGTGGATGAAATAATATTTAATGGCTTTAATCTTGTCTCATTACAGTATTGTGTACTTGATTAAGAAAACTTCATATCATGTAGAGTGCCAATGAAAACTTTGACTTATTTATGTTAATAAACTATTGTAAAAACGAAGTTAACTAAGTTTTTAACTTGAACATTCAATTTAAAAGATATTGTTACATTTATAGGCAGATGACATGAAATATTATAATTTGTATTAAAAAGATGAGTTTATGCTTAAAGTATACTGTATTATGTATTATTAGTTTGACTTTGTGAAAAAGTTTGTGAAATTTTATCCACAACTAAATAGATAAATCATATTTATATATTGTATTTAAGTAATCATATTTAATGATTACATTAGCATTTCTTTTAGTACAATTTTAATTCATTAATACATAATACATAGCGTAAATGCATTTTCTTGCATAAAGAACATAAGATGTTCTGGATAAAGTGTAACATTACAAAAGTAATTTTAAAAATATTAAATTGAGGTCTTATAGAAGAAACAAGTTTAAAATAAAACATTGATAATAATTAATGTAACTAATTGAATGCGTCTAAGTTATTACAACATATTTCCCATAATGACTTATATTTCAGCCTCTAGTTAAATTCAAAAGTCATCTGTATTATGAAGATAAGGATAATATTCAAGAATCTCTGAACAACCTCCGAGTGCTCTCTGGCAGTAAGATATATTATTTCAAGAACGGAGAATGTCAAGGCGAGGCGTTTGTGGATATTTACCAAGGATGTTACTATCCGACTGTATCGTTACACAAGAACATCACAGTCAGTGTGAACTTTGGACCGAATTTCAAATATCCTCCTAATATTGAACATAGCTTTAGACCGGTTAGTAAAAATTTTCTAAGACTTTCGCGGCTAATTATTTAAATGAAATTTATATATTTCGGATTACTGTGAGAACAAATTCAAATCTCGTCTGCCCGTGATTATGGTTGCTGTAAAGTAATGGCAACGTCAGAAGTACATATATACTTTTTAAAATAATAAAATACGCGTTGTAATCCGAAAAATATTAGTTTCTTTATTGTTTGTCATAACTGAAGTAGTAACTATATTAAACTTATTTACTTATGTTAATTTCTATTATTTGGTTATTGCGATATATGCCAATACTTTAATTTAGTACTTATATTAAATTATTATGAAATTATATTTTATTATATTTAGTAAATAGTTGTTTTCTATAATTATACATTTTTTTCTTTCCACAGATGTCCGAAAAGGCTGAAGAAGCAATATGTGAACAGACAATGGCAGATTTATTATTCCTTACCGAAAATGAGGGGAAATTACGTTTAGACGCATTCAACCTCTGATACAACTAACACCGTTTCAGCGGTGTTTATTACAGACTCTGTGAAAGTGAATCAATATATATGTAAGATATCGTGTGATTAATTAAGCATTTCTGTGAACAATCCACTAACTAATGAATGAAGAAATGTCTTAGCATAACATTTATATTTTCATTAATAAAATATATATTTTTTGCTTTTTGTTTCTATAATTTTTTTAACTTAATTATATGGAAAATAACTATCTATTCATGTGATTAACAAAAGAAAATGATTTAACAACCACTCAGTATTCAGTGAAAGAAGATTTGCAACTTGTGAATAAAAAAAACAGATAGTAAAGAATATTATATCAAAATTGTAAGGCTATATACCAATAACTATACAGGGTGACTGGTGAATTACTATCAATATTTAAGGAGAATACTCGGTACATGATTCTCATTCGGATTATGTAAAAAAATAGGTACTTAATTTTTGACCAAATTTCCGTATAAATAAATAAAGTGTGGACACGTTCCAAGTGTGGACGCGTGCGGCGGCGTGCTAATACAACACCACGCCGCAGCGCGCGAGTGTGTGTGTGTGTGTGTGTATACCTAATCTGTAGGGTGTTCACACGATGCGTAATTAATTACATAACTTTTGGTTAACTTTTCTTAGAAGTTTATTAATATTTATGTTATATTAATTTTTATTTTGTCATATATGATCGTCAAATATCACGTCCTCAAGTATCGATAGTAATTCACCAGTCACCCTGTATACCTATATAACAATAACTACAATATACATGTTATGATATGAAAACCTTTTCATATTATAACATTTATATTGTTTTGCAAGATTTGTTTCTATTTAATATATAAATTTCAATGTTCATAGAAGATCATGACACTATTATTATATTAATGATTACAATGTATGTAATAAGAGATTATTAATTATAAGAATCAATGAATTTTAAGGTTGCTACAAATATAAAAATGTCAGAATCTTTTTTAACACCATAGTTGGACTAAATGTTTCAGTAAAATGTAGAAATTCATAAAAAAGAGCAATCGAGAGACGAAACCACTCATCATTCCTTACACTTTATGAGTGCCGGGTCCATCGTTGCAGTGAGAGGAGCTTCAACAGTGCCTGGGACTTGCGATCCAGGTTTAGGTTAAAGGGGCCCCTTAACTAACGCGTTTTAAACTCTCACCTCCACCGTCCAAGCTCCTCTATCTAGCCTTATTTGAAAAGATCCTACTAGGGCTGCCTTCACAGTACATTTTAAGAACGAAGTGACGTTACTTCTGGAAAGGCCCTAGTCATTTAGTAGGTTATAGAGACATGTAGCTGTTATTAAGAATTATGTGAGAATGTATGTCATTTCTTTAATAATTAATTTCTTGTTGAACTTAGAATGATAATGTTTAAGGAGTGTACAATACATATAATAATCTTTAAAAATGTCCAAAATAAATCTTAGTATTTTTTATCAATAAAACTAGTTCATTAAGTACAACTTAACTCTATAATGGAGTTGTTACATACTTTTTTGAAGTATTATTAAATTGTATAAGGTTTGTAAATATTAAAATGCTTAAACAATTAAATTGGTATATTATTTACTAACATATTGAACAATTATTTGAAATATAAAGAAAATTCTAAATTTCACCTTTATTCAATTAAGAGCAGTAATATTTTTTGTAAGTAATAAATATATGTATATCATTTTTAAATAATCCCTTATATAATTATCAGGAAATAAAACCTGGAGATTGAAAAGAAGAAAAATTAATATCACACCATAACATAGTTATTTAAAATTTATTCAACAATTAAAAATGTATTGGAAATTATACAACAAAGGATAGGATTAAAAATTATACTAATAATTAGATAAGACTAAATTATAAACATTTTCTAATAATTTAAATATTTGAAGTTTTATTTTCCGAAGCCTCCTCGACAATTAGGACTACTTTCTACAACCTTATCGCTAGAATCCCATTGTTCAGGTGTTTTAGCCACAATAGATAATGCATGGACGCCGTTTTGAAGTTCTTCTTTGAGTATATCATTTACAAGTCGGTGTCTCTGAAATATTAATAAATAATTTCACATTAAATATTAATGATACAACTACAAGAAGCCGATATAAGTTATGGTTATAAAATTATCCTTACCTTGAGCAATGCAAGTCCTTCAAATTGTTCGGAAACAACCACTACTTTAAAGTGAGTTTCAGCGCCTTTTGGAACGTTGTGCATATAAGATTCATTTAGAACTTCTAAATGCTTTGTTTGCAAAGCTGTCTGTAATTTTTGTCTTATAGAATTCGCTATCACACCCGATGCAGTACACATCGTTCTTGAATAAAAGGAGCTTCCTAGAGAATAATACCAATTATACATATGCAAAATAAATAATAGTACTAACAGCAGACGTGATAAATATGTATATTGTTTGGTTTCGTGTTGATTATCCAGACAAGTCATGTAACGTATGATATTATATTAAACGTTAGAAATGAAGTATTTTTTTGTTTTTTTACATTATTTTTCTATACGATTTGACACTTATAACAGCTGTTTTGTTCATAGGCCTAGTGTCAGATTGACACATGGCAGATAATAAATAATTTATGTTTAAACTGTATCTGTCTTCTCAATTCTTCGTTATACGGTTATATGACGGAAAATACTGTGAATTTTTAACTGATGAAGGTCAGAAATTAAATAAATAAATATTTACTACAATCTAATTGATAATTTTCTTGAATAATGTTTTAAAAAATAAGCCTTTATAAAGGAGAATGTTATCACAAGATATGGAGTTGTAAAATAATCAATTGACAACATATTGTTTTTCAATTAATTTTTTTTTATATAAACTCACGAAAAAATAATAATGCATTGAAAGGATTTTGCAATCGTCGTGTACCTCAAATATATTAAGTCTCTTCTTAGTTCTCTAGGGTACCTAAATGCTGAATAAGAGTTATTATTGAAGGCTTAGGTTTTGAATTGTATAATTTTTGAATAAATAGTTGTTTAAACGTTACTTGAGGTTTAGACGTCAGTTTAGCATAACATTATAAACGCAAACGTTATCTATATACTGTAACTTAGACCTTAGAATGAATTTCATTTTGATTGTCCCCTACTAAAATATATTCTTTTGTACTTATAGTATAGTGTATACTTATTACACTTGGTAGAAGATTCAAATTCACGGCAATTTGAAAAAAAATTGGTATCTCTATACTATACGAAGTTTATATAATGTTCCATCATATTGACTTTTCATTTGTCATAATATGTATTTACTATCAACATGTTTAGTATAAAAAAATATTTTAATAATTATTAATTTAATAACTTTAATTTTGGAAATGATGCTATTATGACATGTTAATAACAATGTAAAGTATTTAATAAAATTATCCCTAATAATAACTATACAAGTGAAAAAGAACAACTCAAAATATACCCATCTACTTAATATACATATATACCTACCTACTAATTTTATTCAATTCAAAAAGCTACAGCATAAAAATCTGCCAATTCTTTTCAAACCATATACCATATTAACTTTCCCCAACATTTTTTATTGAGTTTGATGGATTGATATTCCATTGGATATTTGAACAAACTTTGTTTTTCCGATCTGTCCCATTCTCTTGATATATAGCGAGTTCAAATAATGTCGTTTGTATTTTATTCTTTTTTTGGGTCACACCATTTCAAATACCTTCAGATTTATCATTTTAGGCTTTACATATTTTATTTAGTTTTGTAAAAATAAATATTACGCAAACGAAAAATGTACGTAGCACAAATATAATTTATCTAAAGATATTGAATATAAAAATAGTATCTAGATTTGGAAGTTTAAAGAATATTTATATTTATATTGACACGCTTTTTTTACTGAACTACCTAAATTACAAACGCCTGAACTCTCAATTATGAAATAAACAAAAGTATTGTTGCATTGCATAAAACGAAAGTCATCTAAGTTCGTACATACATATTAAAACAAAGTATTAGATAGGATTCATTTTAAATATAATTATGGTGCAGTAAAAACATTTAGAGCATAAATAAAAAAATGATCATTCAGCCGTTTTTGGTGATAAAGGTTCAAACTCCAAATCTGTTCACAATCAATATTACTAAAATGATAGAGGTCAGTCGGTTTGAAAGATATAATGATTGAATACGATTGAATGAAACTGAAAATAAATCGGAAATGTTATTTCATTTTGTAGTGAGAAAGCATTTTTTTGACTTGTATGTTAGCCCTACTGACTTATGACAATGTCTCAAGAGGGGGGGGGGGGGGGGGAGGATGGTAGGGCTGACGAAGCATTAAACGACATTGTTTGACTTAATTAAATTAGATGAAGATATGATCTATAGCATTATATATTATTTTTTTATAAGAAATCCATCAAACGAGCAGACTGCCTACATGTTGGGAAGCAGTTAGCGTCGCTTATGGACATCACAATAGGAAAGAATGGCAATAAGGAAAAGCTGGAAAGGGTGGAAAAAAGGAAAGGCCATCCGGCTTAAGAGAGTCGAGACATAACGCAGCCATTAAAGACAACTTCACGCCGATCTTCTGTGACGGGGTGGTACTACCCCGGTCGAGCTAGCCCATATTACAGCTGTATAAGCTTTTCTGCGTTAAATTATTGAACAATTTTCATAGAACATTTGTCTCTGAAGTTTTGTAAGGATGGTATGTACCGGTATATTCCTGTAAAACATGTTTTGAACTAGTGTTAGATACCAAATAGTAATTAAATGAAGCTTATATTTTTTAGATTACTACGCGTATTTTATTATTTTTAAAACTACTTACTCCCGAAGTTTCCGTTACTTTGCAACAACTGCGATCACCGAAAGACGAGATGAGAATGTCCCTAATAAAATACCCATAAGCGTCTTAGATCTCATAAGTATTTATTTAATTAATAGATACTCGAGTTTAAAAAGAAACTCAAATTTTAATAATAATAAATATAAATTTGAATTACATTAAAAACGTAGTACATTTTACGCATTGTCCATTCGGGTTTAATTTAATTTAATTTATAATTAATTTATTATGCATTATGAATATCTGAAATTATATCTCATTCTTTTGATCATTAATTGAAAAGCGAGGGTTTTTGTCGCAATTCAATAATCGATATATTTTAATCAATTTGGACTTTATTATTTCGTATAATAATACAATATGAATCAGAATATAAACAATATTGTTATCTTTACACAGCAGAATGTAATATGCAACACAATGAAAAAGGTATTGTTTTAACAACATAAAACTGGGTATTGTAAGTTTATATGGAAATAATATTATTTCTTTTGTTAAACATCTCTATCTCCACACTTGAACCAGTTTATTATTTATTATAACCTTTTGGTATTTTACATTCTGGACACGCTTTTTAACGCATCTTTTCCGAATTTATAATCAAGTCTTTGTTAATATTTCCTATTATAAAGATACTAGATTTAATAAAGATATATATACTATTAATCCATTATTTATTGTCAAGATGATACGCTTTAAGAGACTCGTGTAACAAAAGCGCTAAGCAGTACACGTATGTCAAACGATGTCACTGCTTTGTTTGAACTCAGCCAAGCATCTAACCCATTATTTACTGCAACAGCCACTAAACCGGATATTGAACGATGAAACAACTCTTCATATTGTGACATTGACAACCGTATTGAATACGCGTTACACGTACCTACTATACGAGTATTCCGCGTAAAATGATCTTTGTAAACATACGTTGCTATACCTATTCGTTTGAATTTTTAATTCGAGAGCAATATGGCTAATAGGTAGAATTAATGAAAAAGGTACTAAGAATAAAGGCTGTTTTTTTGTGTTTCCTGCCATTATCATTTCTTAGGAAAATAGGTGAAATCTCGTTTAACATACTAATATTTTATTTTTTTTTTTCTTGATATTTGTTTTTATAAATTCTTATTTGGATATGCAGGTAGTATCCTAGAGGTATTGCTGACAACAATTTAATGTTGCTGGAATTAATTTATCGTCTGCTATAAATAAAGGGAAAAAGCTAAATCCTCGTTGATTTTTGTTAGATATTATAGTTTTTTTTGCTTCAAAACAGTTTTGAAATTAAATAATATGTCGTAATTTAAATACAGTTTAATTTTTTTATATGGTTTTTAAAAATATTGAAATATTTTATTGATAAAGATATTGAGTAAAGAGAAAACAAAAATTAAATCTCCTTTCAAACTTTTTGTGTCATAGTTTCATTTAGGTATTATAAAATATCGCACAATATCTGAATTGTTATCAAAAATAATAAATTTTGTGTGTACAACGTAAGCTGAAATCAAAGCAGTAAATTTTGCTAAAAAAGCAATATCGTCTACCGAATTATCCCTTTTACACCCCAATGATCAAATTTATACGTGATGGTCAAGAAATATGATGGTAGTATTAAACTGCAAAACACATTATATATTTCTTTCACTGAAATTTTCATACTTTGAATCTTACTATGGTTAAAACTTTGTATTGATTCTATACGAAAAAGTTTTTTGTTGCACAAAAGCAAAAAGGCTAAAAGAGAATTCCTGTTTAAAAATTTAAAAAATTGTTTGTCAATTGAAAACTTTTTTGTGTTCCTTAAACTAAGTTGGTAAAATAAAAATTATGATATTGTAATTAAATGGAATTTGATGGAGTACTAAAAATATGATTGTAGATTCTATATAGATAAAAATCTAAAAATTCCTTTTATAATCTTCTCGTAATATGTTTATGACATAGCCAATGTCACTACCTCATTTGTTTTCTCTCGTGCATGGAGACTTCTTATGAGGAGAGATAAATGACATTTTAGCGGATTACTAAGATTATTTACCTATTTACTGTAACACTACCTATTTACTGTACCACTATATATTTTCTGTACCACAACTTTTATAGGTGCTATCTGCTAACATGAAAGAAAAAAATAGGCTTAAAATAAAAAACTTCCTCCTTTTATGGAGTCGGTTATCGAAATTTACTTGTTATTTTTTAATTAAATAAATTGGACAGTTACACAGGGAATGTCAATGATAATTATCGTTCCTGAATTCTTGCCTCCTGTTCCCTGTGAAATGCAGTGACTTTATGGCTTGAGCTGCCATTACACGATCTGCTACGATCCTACTGCAACGAAAACTAGTTTACATTTCAGTACTAATGAATATTAGAATGCAATGGAAATAATTTTATATTAAAAAAAAAAAAAATGGTCACTATTAAGGTTAATTTCATACAAAATTGGTTAAATAGTAGCCACTGGCTACAAATTTTCTTTTGTTTCTATATGTGCTAATATATTTAAGTTTAGTTTTTTAATGGTTTGCAGATTTCTTTTAGTTCCACGTTACACACGTCGTTATTCATAGGCTGTTATATATTGACAGTAATCCTGATG